CTGCTGATAATGATGCTGATGATGCGCCGACGGCCCCCACGGGGCCGTCGGCCGAGCTCTCCGAGCCGCGTCCAGCAGGCCTGTCAACAAGCCAACCGTCCTCGAAGGGACAGGCCACGTGCACCCCACGCTCACTGCTGCCGGCAGTCCACGCTGCCTGGCAGCCGCTCCGAGGCGGCGGCCTCGGGCGGCCCCGCGCTGGCGCACACCTCCAGGGGGCTGCACGGCTGGTTCCCTCCGACTGCGAGCCCAGCGTGTCCTCCAGGGGGCCTTGCATCATCCCGTGCATACTGCTGGTCGCGGGGCCCTCCGCCCCCACCCGACTGGGCGCAGGGTCCTGCCCCAACGCCCTGCCGTACCCTCGGGGTCTGACCCCGCGGGGTCCTCGCCTCCACGAGCGGGCCCAGCAGCAGCGCCCGCCAAAGGGGGTGACCTGAAGCTCCTCGCTGCCGCCGCCGCGGCGGGCGGCAGGTAGACCGCGCCGGGCGGTGAGTCAGCCGCGGCACGCGTGTGGTCGGCCGCGGCGGTCGGCGTGTCAGCGGCTGGCCGACGCGCAGCCGCCTGCTGAGCGGCTGCGGCCCGCGCCTCGTGGCCGCCCTGCCCGGCCGCCGGCGCCGTGGCCCCGGCGGGGTGGGCCTGCCGCCGTCACGCCGGCGCGCGCGGCTCCCGACGCAGGCGGCGGCGGCGATCACGGCCAGGGAGACGACCCAGGCGTCCCTTCCAGGCGGCATGCCGCGCGCCCCAAGGGCTTCGGGCGGGCCCTCCACGGGCTTGGCTTCTTTCGCGGCCAGTATCCATAGGGACTGCGCGCAGACATGGCCACCGAGTGCAAGACAGGAGCAAGCCATGGCCTCGTTTTGAAAAGCAGCCGCCCTCCACCCTTATAGTTTCCCAGATTCCCTAGCTTCAGCATACATGCGGTGTGGACGCCTCAGAAGAAATGCCTGGTCCGCTATACCGGCACTCTTCGTGGTGGGACGAGGTAGATTTGCTTACAAGGAAGAGGCACGGATGATGAGAGAGGAGGAGGAACGGGAGGAGGAAGAGGAGGAGAGGTAAAGAGAAGAGAAGACAAGGGAAAGGATGAGGAGAAAAGGAAAAGGAAAAGGGGAAGGAGGAGGAGGATGAGGAAAAGAGGAGGGAGGGGGGGGGAGGAGAAATAGGAGGATGAGGCGGAGGAGGAGGAGGAGGAGGAGGAGGAGGAGCAGGGGGAGGCGGAAGAGGAGGAGGAGGAGGAGCAGGAGGCGGAAGAGGAGGATGAGGAGGCAGAGGAGGAAGAGAACGTGGTGATGGAGGAGTAGGAGGCGGAAGGGGTGTGGAGGAGGGGGTGTGGAGGGGCGGGGGAGGCAGAGGCGGAGGAGGAGGAATTTGAGGAGGAGGAGTAGTCGGATGGGGAGGAGGAGACGGGGTAGTAACGACGAGAAGAAGAAGAAGGAAGAGTAGGAGGAGGAGGACGAGGAGGAGGAGGAGGAAGAGGAGGAAGAGGAAGGGGAGTGGGATGGCCAGGGGGTGGGAGAGGGGTACGGGTGATGGAGATCTCGAAGGCGAGGTCGAGGAGGACAGACCGTGCGTGCTGCGACGGTCGCAGGACGGCCCCAACCCTTCTCACCTCTTGCAGTGAGGACCCCCTTCTCTCGTTGGGTCATCCGTCATCCCCCTGCCTTTTCTCCTCATGCAGCGGGTAGCCACTGTTCGGCGGCGCAAGCTCAGCACAGGGCGCGTTTGCACGTGATGCAAGAGTGCCGCGAAAACTCCAGGCCCCTGCTTCGCGTGACCTGTGTAGCGGGAGGGCGCGTGCGGCCTTCTATGCAGTCATGCACGCCGGATAAGACGCCAGCTTGCCAGCAGGTGCCCGCGGATATCTCTTCTTCCCTGACGACCCGCGGCACCCGTTGGAGTTTGTGGGCGCTCGCGACGTCCAACGTCGACCGAACACCGTGCCACTGGATGTCTTACAGCAAGCCTTCTCAACGTGAGCGCCCGCTGTGACCTCCCCCGCCTCCCCCTCGCCTCGGGGGCAACGACAGGGGGGGGGGACCAGTGCAGGGGGGGATGCATCGAGCTGGAGTCGGCGGCACATCGCTGATAAATCGGCGATAGGCCCCCGACAGCAAACCCCGCACGTTCCTGGGCGGGGTGGGCCATCGGGCCTCTATCGGCGATGAGTGGGCAAGTGTAGGTCGATGCGCCCCCCCGCTCAGCCTATGCCCCCCGAACGTTGCACCTGGTCCCCCTGCCAGGAGAGGCCTGCTGGAGGGTTGTGCTTGCGCCTGCATTATCTTGAGCAGTTGAGCGCCCTGACGCCATCGGCCGAACGGCCCGTAACGCGGGACACTTTGCTGACACGGTTCGCCGCCTCAAGCATGGCATGGTTTGCATGTTGCGCAGACACGTCATTCGGTAGCAAATCATGGGAGCCGGGTCTACCCGTTCAATTTTGCCTTAAGCGTCGACTAGCGTCGATAGCGCCTGGGAGTCGATGAGATGTGCCGACTTAGCGTCGGCTAGCGTCGATCACTTCCGATCTAGTGTCGATTCAGCGTCGGTCAGCGTCGATTTAGCTTCGATTCAGCGCCGTTTCGCAGGAGCCGACAATATGGTATGGCTCCCAGTAGTTGACACCGAAACGTCTGACCGGAAGTGAGGGAGCGGCTTCGGCGGCGAGGCAGGAGAGGAGGAGGAGGAGGAGGAGGAGGAGGAGGAGGAGGAGGAGGAGGAGGAGGAGGAGGAGGAGGAGGAGGAGCTAACCACAGAGGAAGCGGTGCCGCCACCTCCGCGCGCCCGAGAGCCCACGCGCGCACACGCGCGACGCGCGCGGTCGGGCGCCGCGTGGGCCCGCCCGATGGGCAAGGCCCCCGACCGCGTGGGAGTCCTGAGGGGACAGGACCCCCGACCACGGGGGCCCTGAGAGGACAGGGCCCCCGACCGCGAGGCCGACCACGACGACCTTCACCACGCCGACAGTGAGGTAGCCGACGGCGAAGGCGGTCTTACCCATGCCGCTGACGCCGAGGCCGACCTCCCTCACCGTCACCGCCAGCGTGCTCGCCCGCCTCGCCGAGGAGGGCGTCCAGCCGCTCGGCCATGTGGCGGAGCTCCACGACGTCGCGCGGGAGGTTCTCCCGCACACAGGGCAGGCCGAAGCGCTTCATCAGGCGGAAGACGTCCTGGCGGAGCCCGTCCAGCTCCGTGCCGCTGCTCTTGTCATTGCCAGCGTCTCCCTTGCCCGAGTCCTTGCCCTTGCCACCGCCACGGCCTGTGCCGCCCGCCAGGCGTCCGCGCCGTACCACAGGCAGGTCGTCCGCCCACTCGTCGGACAGCAGCGGGTCAGGAGACGCGACGGCACCATCGCCACGCTCCCCTCCGCCCCGACGTCGGCCATCTGCTCGTCCGAGTTGGCGTCCTCCGCGCGCTCGCCAGGGCCCGCCGCGCCGCCGCGCCCGCGAGGACGCCGCCGCCGCCGAGGGGCAGCAGCGGGTGCCTCCTGCGCCTGCGCGGCTGCGGGGGGCTCGGGCGGCGCTGCGAGGGCCGCCAGCGCGGCTCGCAGCAGGCCCTCGGCGGCCCGCGCCAGGCGCTGTGCCTCGCGATTGCCGCCCGATAGCCCAGCCGCAGCGTGCGTCGCGAGGACCGCGCCGCGCACGGCCTCGCGCGACGCCTTCGCGCGGCGGGCATCCGTCTCCACAGTATCTGGCATCGGTCGACGGCGGGAGCACGGCGCGCGGGCACCCAGCGGCGGCGGCTTAAGCCAAGATGGTGCTAGGAGGAGGAGGAGGAGGAGGAGGAGGAGGAGGAGGAGGAGGAAGAGGAGGAGGAGGTTGAGGAGGAGGAGGAGGAGGAGGAGGAGTAAGGTAAAAGGTACAGGCCCGTGGGGGGTCCAGGTCTTCGAGTGCCCCAGCTGGGGCTCTGCGCCTCGCAAAGGACCCCTGGGGAAGCATATGAAGGGAAGGATGGGAGGAGGAGGCGGCGGAGGAGGGAGGAGAGGGAGGGAGGGAGGGGAGGGAGGGAGGAGGGAGGAGGGAGGCGGGAGGCGAGGCGGGAGGCGGGAGGAGGGATGAGGGACGAGGGAGGAAGGGGGAGGGAGGAGGGAGGAAGGAGGAGGGAGGAGGGAGGAGGAAGGAGGAAATATGGAGGGAGGGAGGAGGGAGGAGGAAATAAGGAGGGAGGGAGGAGGCAGGAGGGAGGAATGAGGATGAAGGACGGAGGAGAGAGGAGGGGGAGTTGGAGGGGGAGGAATACTACCACGAAGACGAATAGGAATAATATGAGGAAGATGAGGAGGAACACTAGTAATTCTAGCACTGATAAAAAATAAGAATGTGAATGCGAATAAGAAGTGCGTATACTAAGAAAAAGAAGAAGACTAATGATGTGAAACAGTTGATGAAGACTAAACTGATCATACGAATAGCAATTCGTATTGATAGTAATAGTGAGTGTACTCATACTCGAACGACCACGAATACTAATACTACTAATAATAATACTAATACTAATAATAATACTAGTAATAATACTATTAATAATAATACTACTACTACTAATACTACTAATACTACTAATACTACTACTACTACTACTACTACTACTACTACTACTACTACTACTACTACTACTACTACTACTACTACTACTACTACTACTACTACTATATTAATACTACTACTACTAATACTACTACTACTACTACTACTACTACTACTACTACTACTACTACTACTACTACTACTACTACTACTAATAATGATACTAATAATACTACTACTACTAATAATAATAATACTACTACTACTACTAATAATAATAATACTAATAATAATAATCACAGTGATGAGAAGGCTAATGATAATGATAGTTACAATGATATGAATAATATGAAGAAAACGAGGAGGAGGAGGGGGAGGAGGAGGAGGAGGAGGCGGAGGAGGAGGAGGAGGAGGACGAGGACGAGGAGGAGGAGGAGGAGGAGGAGGAGGAGGCGGACGGAGCGGCCTCCGCGCCAGGGGGCGGCGCCTGCAGCACGCCCTCCTAGGCGGCGGCCTCCTCTGCCTCGCGGCGCTGTGCCTCGTGGCGCCGCGGCCCGCGTCCGCGGCGCCATGGGCGCACGCGGCGCACGGCCTGCGCGCGGCGGCCCGCCGCCGAGCCGCCGCGGGGCTCCTCGCCGCGTCCGCGCTGACGGGGGCGCTGGCGGCCCATGACTGCCAGCTTGAAACGTACCCCGAAGAAGGAAGACCGGCATAGACATAGACTTTGTGGCGCTTCGCGCGGGTCTCTTGGATCTGTGCCGGGGGGGGGGCCCTCAGCGGCGCCTCCGGCGCCGCCCCTGGCGCGCTCCGCGCGCCAGGGAGGGGGGTCCAGCGCAGATCCAAGAAGTCCGCGCGGAGCGCCAAAAGTTTATATATTCTATGGCGTTCTTATGTTCCTAATCATTGCCAGCGTGAAACCAATCGCTATCCCTAGTACGCCGTTGCAGAAGTTCGTCACGTGTTACGGGGGGAGTCAGGATGCAGGCTTCGTCCGTTGCTTCCGCGCGAGAGGGCGGGCGAAGGCGGACTCCTGTCGCGACCGCGCCAGGTTGCCCCCCCCTTTCCCCCTATAGTCCTAGCGGGCTGGGTCAAGAGCAGTCGGATCAAAGATCCAGGCTTATTCCTTCCATCTTATATTTACACATATATATATATATATGAGATTTATATTTATATTTTTATTTACACATACACACACCTTGTTTATATTTTTACCATCCGGGGTGGGGTGGGGGGAGTGGGACCCCCCCTCCCGCGGGCCGGACCTTCTGGAATCCCCGGTTTCTTGGGTTCCATGGACGCCCCTGCCGAGGGTCCCACGAGACCTCCGGGCTTTCGGAAGTCCCTGCCAAATCGTGCAAACGAGCCGGCGGTAGCCCCAAAATGGTCCAGCATGGCGTCGTGATGGCCCAAGAGGCATTCCAAACGCCCCAAACAGCTCGAAGAGGAACCCCCCAGTGGGCCTCCAAATCCAAAGCCTGTGCATGTCCTATCAGTTTTTGCATTATTTTGGCATTCTCGTTTTTTCGTGCTACCGACGACCCAGGAAGGCTCACAAGGCCCCCAACATTGCCCCAGGACAACCCATGACGGCCCGAGAAGGCTCCAAGATGGGCGGAGATGCCCCCACGATCCCCGAAGAAGGTCCCAAGACGGGCCCAAGAAATGGTCATTCCTTTTTCAAGGACCTTCAGACCACCACCAGGCGCGAGCCCTCTGGCCCTAAAGGACCTACGGAACTGCCAACAGGTGCCCAAACGCCCCAACCAGGGCTCACGAGGTCCCCAGTAAAACCAAACATAATCCAAAGGGGGCTTCAAGTTATTCGCAAAACCAGCAACATTGTTTCCGCGACGACCCCGAGACGCCTCACCACATACGTAAACACATCGAAGAGGCCTGCTGTGGTCCGAACACCCTTTTGCATTAGCCTCAAGCTCGAGCAGATCGTCTCTGGCCAATCTTCCAGCCTATTGGAGCAGGCTGAAAGCTTTGTTCAGCCATCGAACTCAGCCATCTTCGGACACCTTGGAAGTCATCCGCGGCTCTCTCTTAGTCGGGTTCGACGTGCCTGATCCTCTTCGCCCCGCTTCCCCCTGAGGACGTCTGGAGCCATGTTGGCTCAAGCACCACCGCGTCTTCAGGGGTGAAGTCGCCGTGGCAATGACAAACTAATTTTGGGTTGCGTTTCGGCTCGTCCGCTGAGGAAGTCGTTGCGAACCACGGATCTCCCGCGCTGGTGGCGCTGACTCCCAGCGCGCAACTCCTGCCAGACATGGAGGACGTGCAGATAGAAACGCTGACAGCTGCGGAGCTGACGGCGCCGTGTGGGCATTGCATTGAACGGCCCTCGTGTCATTGGCAATGTGCCCCCTCCCCCAGATTTTGTCGATTCCGGCACTAATGACTTGGTCAAAACTTGCCCACCTGTCCGTTCGCAACGGGCGCCGCCTTCACAACGCGGAGCCACTGCGCCAGGGTCGTTCACAATTTCATGGACCCACGTTCTGACCAGGCCCAGTTTCCAGCGTTGGCGACGTGGCGCGACACGCGCGTGCCCGCCAGCGAATGGGCTTCTTACAACCACGCCAGCTCTAACAGCAAAGTCCCGGTGCACGTGAATGACATCGAACACGAGAAGGTGCGCTTGGAATGCGCGGTCAAAACGGGGCGGGCGCAAACGCGCATGCATTGAACCTGTGCCCACATTCGCGCACGAGGCAGCACGGCGCTGCTGCTTGAGATTTTGTTTTCCCCGGTCGCCTCGCGCACAATCCACGACAACGTTGATGCCGTTTCTGCGAGCGAAGGAGTGGTGGCAAAACTCAATGTGCTTCTCCACGAACGCACCGCCCCCCCCCCTCCGAGTTGGTCGGCGATCGTTTCAACCCGCGGGCGCTAGAAAAGACCAGGCTCGCCAAGCTTGGCGCTCCCGAGGCCGCCATGGAGTTGCGAAGCATTGCCGCCGACGGCAGGTGTTTCTTGAAAACGCTGTCGGAGTTGGAACGGCGGCGGCACCGTGTCCGAGCTGCTCGCGACGTCCGCCGAGGACCTGGAGAGCGCGCTCGCGGCTTCTCGGGGCCGGAGGAGCTTCAGGGCGAAGAATGCTTCGCGCATTCGGCAGCCCTCCTCGCGCTGCCCAGACCGCAGGCGGCGCCGGAAGACGCCTGCAGTGGTGCTCGCTGGGGGCGGGCCCCGCCGCGTGGTGTCCCGGCGTCTGGGGGCCACGGTGCGGGTCGCCGGAAAGCGGGGCAATCCGGTCCGCAAGGTTGCCGCGCTGCGCGCGCAGAGCGCTGCCGCCCTGCCGCTCTGGACCGTCGTCTTTCGCCAGGCTGGGGCTGCGCGCGAGAAGGCTTCAGTGGGCCGCAGAGCTGCGACTGTTGCCCAGTTCGGCCCCGACGTGGTGCGGCGCGTGCACGCGTTGGCCTCTGGCCCCGCCCGCCGCCGCCCCCGGGCGCAGCCTTCGGATCTTCGGGCAGCCGACCGGGAAGCAAAGCAGACGGCCAACCGAGCTGCCAATAACACAGCTAACCGAGACCAGCGAGGCAGCCGACCAGGCAACCGAATGTCAGCGCAGAGCGCAAAGGAATCTGAAGGGCCCGACTACGGCGCGGCGCGGCGGCGGATTCCGATTGCGAAAAGCCTCCCTGACGGACTGCGCCACGCAGTTCGTCTTTTGCGAAGAGTCGCAGTTGCTATCCCGGCTCGGGGGCGCCGCGCCGGAGGGTGGGGGGGCGTGGGGGGGGCGACGGCGAGAACGTGGCCGCGGGCAACGACGAGCGCGAGGTCGACGCCGCCGCTGCGGCGGGAGGGGCCTGAATTGTGCCGCGCGCTTGCTGGGGCTGACGCAACAAAAGCCCCCCCCCCCCTCGCTCTCCCGCTGCTGACTCGCCTGCCCGCCCCCCCCGCCTCCGCGACGCGCGCGCGCGTGGGGCAGGGGGTGGGCGGAGCAGACGTCAGAGGAAGGATGTGGAATATTTTTTAAACATTTTTAAAAAGGAAGGCTGCGAAACAAGGTGCAGGGCGCGAAGCGGCACTGCAGTCTTGTTTCTATACATATATACACATCAATCATCAAACTACGTATTTCCAGATCCCGACGTAAAACAACGCGCGATTGTAGAAGTCCCGCCGGGCGGGGCCCTGCCCTGCCAACGCACTATGCATAAATTCTGAATCCTGGCGATTTTTGTGTAACGCCGATGTATGTCTGGCGTTGCACTACTTCGGTGCCAGTTTCTAAGGTTGTCATCGCCTTGGAGTTGCCGATCTGAGGGATAAGGACAGGTTCGAGGCTGGTTGGATGATCCGCGGACTTGGAGCCGTCTGGGGGTCTGAGGTGGCCCAGCATTGGTCTGGGCCAGCAGGAAGGGCGGCCAGAGTCGAGGTTTTGGGCCCGGGGAGGCTTGTTACCCATGTTGGCGTCTAGGGGCCATTTTTGGGTCCAGGGGGGGCCGTCAGAAACGGATCTGGGGTGATACGTTCAATTTGATGGACCCCAGGAGTGGTCTGGGGATTCATTCCTCCTCTTGACCGAGTTTCTGGGGCCCCAACAAGTTCAGACCCCGTGGCCGCCTCCAACCGCGGACGACGTGCGTGCACCGTGCCGCTTTGGCGCCTCCTGGGGCGTCGTCGATCCTCGACTTGGGCATGGTACGGTGCGTAGTTTTGTTCGACCCTCGGGGCCGAGAGAGGATTGATGCATCGTGCTGCGTTGGAGCATGGCCCGAAGGGAGTCCAGACATGGTACGTTGCACGTGCGCCGTCCGAACGCACAGCGGCATGAACATGACTTCTCACAGGTCCGCGCGGAGCTCTCGTATCGAAGCTGGGCCCCCCTGGCGGCGCTTTGGGAGGTCCGCGCGCCAGGGAGGGGAGTCCAGCGTCGTTCCAAGACCCCCCGCGGTCCTCCGAGAACGTTGCTGTCCATGCCGCGTCTTGTTCCTCCAGGCGGGGCATTCGCCTCGGGCGCTGGCGCAGGAGTTGCAGATGAAACGAGCGCCTTCGGGGCTCAAGTATTCAGACGTCAAGGATCCGGGACAACGTTAATCACGGGGTGGGGGGTGGATCGGTTCCAGGCTCGAGGTCCGAGGTCATCGGGGGCCTTTGTTGGTTCTCGGTGGTTCTCCGGTTTCAGGACGCGCTGTAGAGGCTGCGCCTAGCCGGGAGCGATCAAGGGTTGCCCAGCTCGCTCGCCCACACGGATGATGACCTGGAAACCAACGACAGGGGAGGATGGGCCCAGCGGGGGAACGCATCAACCCCCCACCGCCCACTGGTCGCCGATGGAGGCCCGATGGCCCAACCCGCCCAGGAACCTGTTGCGTGGCTGTCGGGTACCTGTTGCCGATCCGTATGCGACGTACCGCCGCTTCAAGCACGATGTCCCCCCCTGGGCTGGGTCCCCCCTGACGTTGCCCTCCCAAGGAGGGCAGCGGGGACCCCCCGACGCCGGGCACCACGGTGACCATCGACTACGTGATGGCCACCACGGGGTCGCGGCAAGGCCCCGCCCAACGTCCCCGCAGGGGCACAGGGGGTTCGGGGGCGCGGAGGAGGGAGGCGAGGACGAGGGGGGTTGGTGGACATCATGGTCGTGGTCGTGACATACCCCAGATCTCCTGGCCCCCCCGTCCTCTTCCAGCCCGCCCCCCTGGGGCCTCCCATGGTCCGCGCACGTGCCCCGGCCCACGTACGCCGGCCGCCCTCTTCCCGACCCTCCTTCGGCGCGCTCAAAGGTAGCTGGTAGAGCTTCTCCGTGATGGCTGATCTCTCGGAGGAGGCTGAGGTACCCAGACCGCTACCCTTCGACCGTTTTCCCCTTTTTAGGCTTCCTGGGAGGCCCTCGTTGCCACCGCTGGATTGGCCTCGAAACTCTTGTCATCACGCACCCCAGGAGAGGTCTAGGGAGTAGCGGTATCGGTAACTGCTCATCTCCTTCCTCCTCCTCCTTTTCCTCCTTCTCCTCCTCCTCCTCCTCCTCCTCCTCCTTTTCCTCCTCCTCCTCCTCCTCCTCCTCCTCCCTCCTCCTCCCTCCTCCTCGCCCTCCTCGTGCTCCCGCCCTCCCTCCACCTTTCCTCTCCATGCTCGGCCTCGTGGTATCCAGGTGGTCGCCTGCCGCTGCGGGTGAAGCGCGACGATGGCCGCGTTGGGGGGTCAAGGACGGAAGGCCTCGGCAGCCGCAGCAGGGCCATGCCGCTGCTCCTCGTCCTCCCCGTCCTCCTTTGAGCCACGCGCAGAGGGGGCCAGGGGGAGGGGGGCCCCCCTGAGGCGAGGAGGAGGAGGAGAAGGAGGAGGAAAAGGAGGAGGAGGAGGAGGAGGAGGGCAAGAGGAGGAGGAGGAGGAGGAGGATGAGGAGGAAGAGGAGGAGGAGGAGGAGGAGGAGGAGGAGGAGGAGGAGGAGGAGGAGGAGGAGGAAGGGGAGGAGGAGGAGGAGGAGGAGGAGGAGAGGAGAAGGCTTCTTAGAAACACCCCTGGTTCTTAAAAGGCGCCGGCCCCACTTCTGTAGACGAGGCCCGCGTCTTCCAAGGAGCAGCTTCCTTCAAGAAACCTCGCGCCGCCAATCCTCGATTCTGTCCACCAGCAGAGTGGTTTGCTCCCACGGGCCCTGTGCCTCCGCAGCCGGGTCCGAATGGGCACCCTGTCAGGACAATCTTCTGGGTGGTGCGGAGGGCATTGGCCAGCGGGTATTGGCCGAGGGCCCGCTTCCGAAACCCTCTCTCTTTTCCCGAGGTGGCCGAGGGCACAAGGCAGCAGGTTGGCCAGAGCTCAATGTTGAGCAGGTCCCTCGGCGTCCAGAGACGTCGCAGGATTCAGAGGAGCAGCGCAGGGGCAGCGTCGTCACGCCCAGTGAGGGGCTGGCGCCGCTGGAGGAGGTGCTGAAACGGATGAGGGTTGCCATCATACGGACATCGTTATCTGCCTCCTGTGCGTTTGGGGCACGTTGGACATCAGGACGTGGTTGCGAAGCGTGCGTGCATTCGGTTCACTGTGTTTGGCGCGGCACACTGTGGTCGAAATGACGTGGATCTGTACAGGTGACGTGCACGAGGCAGATATGAGACATGTTCAATGTCACCGTATGCAGGGCAGCGTCCGCGCTTGCAGCACCCAGCTGCGACACATCTTCTTACGATGCTTGTTGATGCGGTGGCCAGGGTGGCGTCCTATCCCTTGCGAAGCAGTGATTCGTCTGTTCCCTCGCATCGCGAACAACATGGATTAGCTAGTCGTGCTTCAGAACCTTGCTTGTCCTGTTGGCACACGCATGTTCTGCTCTCCGAAAGGTGATGATGTGGGGTCGGGCAAACTTAGTTGCGTCTGCTTTTGTGCCAGTCGCTGCACACGCTGACTTGACCATGCAAAGAAGAGGGTTACCTTCTTGAGGTAATGCCCCCAGTGCTAAGTACTGCGTAATTATATGTTAGCTTCCCTTGCGCAGGCATCGACAAACTGGATTCGACGAAGGATTCGCAGCCTCCATTGCTTCTGCTGGGTCGTTGTCGTGGCGAGAGTGTAGATTCAGTTTGTGGCAAGGGCTCATGAGCGTACGACATCATAGTCATGACTTGGCATGTCCATGATCATCACGGTCACTTTATCGCAGGAGTGAGTTTCAGCTGGGCGCCGACGTGACAGCACCTGACTTCGCAAGTCCTTGGATGAGTACGTGTTCAAAGTCTTCTGTAGTGATTGAGGGCTCAAGCTTTCGGGCTCGAGGGGTTCGCCTTGAGGTTCTGTGGGCGTTCGAGCCTTTTGTAGCGATTGGGGGTTCGAAGTTCGAGGCTTTCGGGCGTTTTCGTTGGTTCTCGGCGGTCTTCAAGCCTCAGGCCGCGTTCCAGCAGCTGCGCGTCGCCAACAGCGTTCCAGGGGTGCCCAGAGTCGCTCCGAATGGCCGCCGCAGACCTTAGTAATGACCCGACCCGGGGCTCAGGAGACGGGGGTCAATGCAAACGGGGGTCAGTCAGAGCGCCAGATCTTGCAGGATCCAGGAGTGCCAGGGATACATTGATTCGGGCTCGGGTGCAGGATCCTGCAGGATTTGCCAGGATCTTGCAAGGCCTGATTGAAACAGGTCTGGATTGACCCGGGTCAGTAGATCCCCGACCGACAACCCAACACAAGGGGGGGTAGGCTGGGATCTGCTCACTGGGGGACGCATCGACCCCCGATCGCTTCTTCGTCGCATATAGGTTCCCGATAGCCCACCCCTCCCAGAAGTGTGCGGATGCGCCATCGGAGGCCTATCGCCGATCTATCGACGACGTATCGCCGATGCAAGCTCGATGTTTCCTCTCCTGAGCTGGTCCTTCACCCCGAACGCTTCCCCTCAACAGAGGAGGACCTCTCTTTGGGGAGCACAGTCAGGAAAGGTTGCATAGCGTGTCGCCCATCTGGCTTTGGCTCGCCGCACTTCGACGCGGCACGCTAACTGCGTCCACATGTGCAAGCGTTCGCGTCCCGAGCTCTTTCCTCACCGAGCGTGTTCCACTGCTCGCAAAGTACCTGCTCTCGAACTTGGGAACGACAAAACAACACAACACGTGCTTGTTGCCTCGATGTGATGCGTCGTAGATCCCCCGCGGCGGATCCAGGCCACTTGCGAGTAGTTGCTTTGCGCGCGCTATCTATTCCCAGCCTCCCGCCGCGCGGAGCGGAGCGACACGCAGTATCAGCTCGCAGGGCATGGCGTGCCGCTGGGGCCGCCGCCGCGACTCGCTGGGCACGGGGCCCCGTGCCCTGGCCCCTCGCCCGAGGAGCGCGAGGAGCCCTTCACGTTCCGGCTCGGCGACCCCACCGTCATTGCCGGCCTCCAGGAGGCGGTGTCCGGCATGCGCGCGGGAGGTGCGCAGGGCATCGCCATGGGTCGAGGAAGAAGAAGAAGAAGAAATAGAAGAAGAAGAAGAAATAGAAGAAGAATAAGAAGCAGCGTAAGCATAATTTTTTGGCGCTCCGCGCGTTTTTTTTCTTGGATCCGCGTTGGCCCCCCCTGGTGGCGCCTCTGGCGCTGCCCCTGGCGCGCTCCGCGCGCCAGGGAGCGGGGTCCAGCGCGGATCCAAGAAATCCGCGCGGAGCGCCCAAAGTTTATGCCTCTGATGCTTTTTCTTCTTCTGATGGGGGAAACCCGAGCATTGTCCTTGGGTGGAGGGCAAAGGGTGAAATCTGAAATGCCGTTTCGATGGATTCTCGAGGCTTGAACCTGCAAAAGGTGAATCACAAGACGGATTGATTTTCGAGGTGCAAAAGCCCTTACGGATTTCACCTTGAGCCCTCTACCCTAAGAAAATGCATAGGAAACGGGTCCTGGACGGGCCCAGAGGGAAACGGGTCCTCCGCTTTTCGCCCCGTGTGCGGGATCCTGGGGCCCTCCACGGGCCCCGGGTCTGTCGGAGGATGACTCGGGACAAGAACTCGTGACTGGGGGAAGGCCCCGGGGTCCAGGGCCCGTTTCCCTCAGGATCCGGGATCCGTTTGCCCCATGTCACGGTCAAGAGGGACAAAACACACACACAGACGCAATTCATCGTCGACGTCGATCCCAAGGAAGATATGGGAAGATATGGGATGTGGGGGAGGAAGACGAAAATCCATCAAGTATGAGCACATATAGGCATCTTGGAACTTGTGTGTGTGTGTGTGTGTTCACGTGTGCGTGTCCCTGGACCCCTTCATGAGGGAGGCGCGCAGGGCAGCGGCGCGCTGCGAGCACGTCGCGTGGCTTGCCGGCGCGCCGGTGTGCTTTCGGGAGGGCCCCTTGCCCAGCCCCTTGCCGACCCCGTGAGTTTTGGAGGTTCGAGCCCTGAATATACACATTGGTCATGTCTGATTCTTCGAAAGTTCTTTTCATTCTTTGGGGGCCAAGATCCTTTCATTTCTAACTGTTCTATCCTGGGCCTCTTCCTGGCCACCAGGGGGCCGGGAACAATTAGAAATGAACGACGTGTATGTCGACATGTGCATATGCATAACATAACCGTTCGGAGGTCCGCGTCGATCTCTTGGACAGCGTGGCGAAACCTCGCCGGGCCCGTCCAATTCCTCAGTGAACGAAGTAAGAACCATCAGGGCTTTGGAGGTTTGCGCGCGTGTTGGCGAATACAGTGGAAATCCTTGCCAAGAAAAGCCCTGCTTGCCTCCGGGGTGCCCTGGTTTTCTTGGGTTTTGATGGTTTTGTGATGGAGAGCGTGACGCTCCCACACCGAAAACCAATGTACGTCCTGGGGTCTCAGAGTTGGGGTTTCTTGTGGAAGGCTTCTTGTGGTCGAGCTGCTGCTGTAGTACGATTTCGAAGCGCAGCCCTCACACATTAGAAAGAGGGAGATGCACGGACAACGCGACCCGTGCCTCGTCGCCACGGCCGGATGATTCGCCCCAGGATCCTGGCTTTGGAGCGCACCCCAGGCTAGGAGAGGATGATCCGGGCAGAACCAGGACAGTGTCGAGGCGCTGAGATGAGAGGAGGACCGCTGTGGGCTCGGGAGGGGACCGGATTTTCTTTTGGGGCGGGGGCGATTCCTAGACCCAGGTCCGGGGAGCTGCTCGTGGCCGAGGCCCGCCATGGCCAGCAGAGCCCCCTCGTTCCTCCTTTGGCGCTCCCTCTGGTTCGGAGGTGGCTGGACCTCCCACCCCGACGCGTCGTTTTTCGGGTCCAGGTCCGGCGGTGTCGGTCCCAGGCCGTTGTCACTAAGGGGAGGTTTATTAAGGGGAGGCTTGTCCACCGCCGACTGGTAGCACGATGACCGTGCTGGCATCTGTTAGTCCCTCCTCCTGCAGCGGGGCTCCGGCGCGCTGGGCGGGTCCCTGGGGGAGGGGGCCGCTGCAGCGTCGGTGCCCCGATGTGGTGTGTCGCGCTCGGCGAGGTGGCTGCTGCCAGCCTGTACATCTCATGTAGGAGATCGGCTGCAGAATCGACATACCCCAGAATTGAACATTGTCCTCGAATGCAAGTGCAATTCGTAGAGTGTCAAACATTGTTTTTTTTTGTTGTCAGACTCGATGAACTCGCAAATTTTGGATATCTGGTCATCGTTTCGGCATGCGTCATCTGCCTGACATGAGCATCCGTAATCGGGGAAACGTAAGACTCGAGTTCGACGGAACTTGGATTTGCCGACGCTTTTGGGTGAGCCCGTCCTGGATTTTGACGGTCCAGTTGCGTGTGGAATGTTTGCAGCGGAAGCTCGCGCCGAATTTCTAATTTGGTTTCGTCGTTTTCCTGGCGGCCCTGCCAGGCCAACCCGAGTCCCCGAAACCCGAGTTTTACGCTTCCCCGAGATAACCCCTTGTCGTGAGCTGACGCTTTCTTGGCAATCCAATGGCTCGCCCATTCTATTCAAGTTTGCCTGCTGAGTGGAGGGCGCGATACGTACGCTGTGTTTGCATGCCCGTGCGCGCTGCGAGCTGGCAGGTCAGATTTCGCAAAGGTCTCGGTCGATGTGCTTCAGTGTAACAGGTTCGGGGCCGAAGTGAGCATACATTATTTCGGCCATGGGTGTCAGTCCCTCTTGAAGAGTGCTTGATTCTGTGCGCGGCTGCTGCCGTCCAGGTGTTCGACGTGTGATTGTCCCAGAATCGCTGGGCGCGCGGGGTTTGTTCAAGCATTCGACTCATAGTTGTAAGGGGCCGTTATTGGTATGATTGGAGGCGTACTCAGCAATAGCGCTCGACATGCAGTGACATTTCTCGATTCATACCTAAGTGGTGATGACAGGAGCGGCACCCGCAGAAAAGAGGAGTAGAGCTGAAGTTGGAGCACATACTTTCTCATTACCTCAATTTGTGCCAGCGTTCTTGATGGAACATGCTCGAGTTCTTGTTCCCAAGTTCAGATATGTTTCCTCCAATATTTGGATCAACCAGGCGTTCCTAAATCCAGCATGCCAAGGCCTCCAGCGAGTCGTTGTTGCAGTGCTAGTATGGCAAGTTTAGCATTGCGCCACCCATGTGAGTTTCTCACCAGCGTGTGATGATCATGTTGCGGCTCCCACGGGGGGCGTGTTGAGTCTGGTCACGTAATCATGCACGTTTAACCAGCAGTCGGAGTCCGTTCCCTCAGAAATGCAATCAAGCTTCAGAGCAGGTTTGAGTCAGTGTCTGTTCTGCTTGCTTGTTTGCTCGCGCTCCAGGCTACACGGATCTGAGCAAGCGACCTGTCCCGCCGAGCTTCGACAGGCTCACCACACAAGGGGGGGCAGCAGCGATTCTGGCCTTCACCCTGAAGTTGCGTGGACCTTGTAGATCCCCGTGGGTATTTGTATGCTTCCATGAGTTCAGTGCGAAGTGGAAGAAGCTATGCGGGATTTGTTCGATACCTACAGTTGGGCCTCCCCTCAGAGTCCTGAGCATGTTTCAATTCATTTCAAGAGAGCCCGAACGCATCCAAGTGGCCATATGGGCCCTGCATAAACACATAAGCAACATGCTGTATCGGATAACGCATGTGTTTTTTTGCTTGCGTTGGGAACGGCTGTTGCAACCGGTTTGAATGATGGTTCAGGGCTCCCTTTGCGGACGGACACGGTGACCGTCCAGTGTGGGCGTTGAAACATATCGAAGTTGGCTTACGGTTTGTAGGCTCCCGCGCCGACGCAAGGCTTGGGAGACGTGTCGGCTTCCTGGGACTCAGGTGCAGGTTGGTCAGCGCTTCCATGTGCCACGCTTCCTCTGCTGAGACAGGGCTGCGCTCCCTGTCCTCCGAGCTCTCCTGCCACGGCCGCGCTCCCTCGCCAGACGCTCCCCTCGGGCAGCGCGCGGCCGCTGCAGGCTCCAGCGCTTCCGGGTGATCTACCAGAACCCGAACAGGATGCGCCAGCCGGACCTGATCTTCGACGTGAAGCTGTTCACTTTCCAGAGCAGGTGAGAGACAGCCACGCGCGCGGGCCGCTCGACCGCGAGCAGAACACGCCCCTGCACCCCCACGCCCGCCCAGCGTGCGCCTCGGCCCGGGCCCGCTGATTGCCGGGCGCGTGCGCGTGCGCGTGCGCGCCGCCCCCGCCCCCAGTTCCCCGCTGCCCAGCAGCATCCCAGTGCCCCCTCCGCCCCGACCGTTCGACCCGTCGGCCATTCAGCAGGCATTTCAGGAGTCCCAGGTTCCAGTGTACTTTGAGCGCCCTCCCTCTTCGATGATCGAGTGGCCGCGCCTTGTCCGTCATCTTTGTGGGGGGCGGGCGGACACCCAATGTGCTTTCAACGCCTTCCTGCTTCATGTTTCTACCCACTTCCGACCGATGGGTATTCTCGCGTCGCACCCTCCCCCCTCCCTTCCACCCAGGATGGGCTCCGCCCCCGGCCCTTGTCCCCATTGTCCCTCAGTTGCCCAGTGCTCCCTCCGTTCAACTTGTTTTATGTTCGCACCGCCCCCTCCCCCTCTCCCCTCCGCAAGATACCGCTCCACGCTCCCTGCCCCAACCGCCCCCCAGCAGCCCAGTGCCCCCACCCCGCAGGGCAATGCCCCCGCCCCTCTCCCCACATTGTCCCCAAGCAGCCCAGTGCCCCCTGCACACCGACAATTATATTCTCTTGCGCCATGTGTCTAGGTTCCGCCCGCTGCATTTTCGCAACGCGCCCCGCCGCCTCCCCCCCAGCTATCCTCCTCCCCTCCTCCCCCTCCTCCTCCTCTTCTCCTCCGCCTCCTCCTCTTTCTCCTCCTTTTCCTCCTCCTCCGCCTCCTCCTCCTCCTCCACTTCCTCCTTCTTTCCTCCTTCTGCTCCTCCTCCTCCTCGCCTCAGGGGGGCCCCCCCGCCCGCGGCCCCCCCCCCCGTCGCCCGCCCCCGAGCCCGGGGGCCCCCCCCCCCGTGGGGGGGCGGCCGCGGCCATGGGCTCGGGGCGGCGGCCTCCGCAGACCCACTCGCGCGGCGCGTCGCCCGCGAGCGGCGGCGGGCCCCAACGGCCCCCGGGAGCGAGGAGGAGGAGGAGGAGGTGGCGGAGGAGGAAGGGGAGGAAGAGGAGGAGGAGGAGGAGGAGTGAGGTGCCGAGGAGGAGGAGGAGGAGGGGGAGGAGGAGGAGGAGGAGAAGGAGGAGGAGGAGGAGGAGGAGGAAGAGGACGATGGGGAGGGAGATGGAGGAGGAGGAGGAGGAGGAGGAGGAGGAGGAGGGATTCGAAGAGGAAGCAACGGCGTAAACATAAACTTCTGGCGCTCCGCGCGGATTTGTTGGATCCGCGCTGGGCCCCCCCGGTCTCGGTATCGTTTAACCGATCGCCATCCCCATCCCCATCCCTTTCGAAACCCCCGTCAAATTACCACCCCAGTTGGGGATGCACCCCCCGAAGCCCGAAGGGAGCGACCTATATCCCCATCCAGGGGGGTAAATCGGCCAGTGGGGCCCAGGCCACACCGCTGGGGACGGGGATCGGTTAAACGATACTCAGAAGAGGGATTCGGAGAGGAAAAAACGGTATGAACATCAACTTTCGGCGCTCCGTGCGGATCTCTCGGATCCGCGCTGGGCGCCCCCTGGCGGCGTCTCCGGCCCCTGGCGCGCTCCTCGCGCCAGGGAGGGAGGTCTGGCGCGGATCCAAGACATCCGCGCGGAGTGCCAAACGTTTATGTTGATGCCGTTGTTTCTGCTTCTACTTCGGGAGCGGAAGAGGGATGTGCGCGTAACCTCAGGAGGTCTTCGGTTTTGATCCGCCCCCCTCTTCACACGGCGGTGAACAGGACCTCCTCCTTCTCCCCCCTTCTCCCCCTCCTCCTCCTCCTCCTCCTCTTCCTCCTCCTCCTGCTCCTCCTTCTCCTCCTCCTCCTCCTCCTCCTCCTTCCCCCTCTCCCCCATCTCCTCCTCATCTTCCTCCTCCTCCTCCTCCTCTTCCTGCTCCTCCTCCTCATCCTCCCCCCACTCCTGCGGCGGGTGCCGCGGACCAACAAAAATTAGTTACCCCCTTTTAGTGGGACCCCAGTCCTTCAATAAGGCCGCCGAACAAATGATTAGTTACCCCCTATTCACGGGGGTTATATGGACTTATCGCGGTTATATGAGTCCACGTTGGTTTCGAGAGTCCGCATTGCGCGACCCTTCGCATCACGAGGCCGGTCTCGCGGATCGAGGGGCCGCGTTCTTGTACGTACGTGGTTGGGCGCGTACGTCCCTTGTGGGCTCCTCATTCCTGCGAGCAGCGGCGAACCCAGACCTCCGACGTCTCGAGGACCTCCAGGCTGAGGTGTCTCGCCGATCTCGGCCTCGGGGGGCCCTCGCCAGGCCCCACATCCCTCCTCGAAGTCAAACGCACGTTTTTCCCGCAACGGGGCGGCGCCCCAGGACCCCAAGCTTTCGATACTCGCGCCGGGACTGGCGACTGTTAACACAGAAGTCTGAACCCCTGGGCCCCCACCCCGCCCAGCGAGGGCCCAAAAGTGCCAGGACCCAGCGGAGGCCCGCCGCCGTCATTTCGTCGCAACGGGAGGAGGAGGAGGAGGAGGAGGAGGAGGAGGAGGAGGAGGAGGACCAGTGTAAACCCAATAGTCATCAACGTTGTTGGAATATATCCTCCCTCCAAGCTCCCTCTTCATAGGCCCCTACAGTGGTTCATGTCTTCCGATGGAACTGCCGCGTTGGAAGACAACCGTTTGAAGATCCTGAAGCATGCCAAAACATTGTTCTCGGGATTCCAAAGCCACGGATCAGCCTTACTGTTGCGTCTTGACGATCCTGAATCGCGCCAGAACACCATTCCTGGGATTTCAACACCGCGAATCAACGTAACTGTTGCGCCCTCATAATCCTGAACCCTTCCAAATCAACATGTCTGTTACGCTGATCATAGGAACCCGCCAAACTCTTACAAATGTTCAAAACGAATGTGCGCGGCGCTAAGGCGAGAGCCACATGTTGAAAAGGAACCGCCCTCACCCCGAGAAGCCCTTGCAATTTTTTAGAGCGAATGTGCGCGGCGCTAAGGCGAGAGCCACATTTTGAAAACGGGCCGCCCTCAATCCGTGGAATTCTTACCATAAAGAAAACGAATGTGCGTGGCGCTCAGGCGACAGCCAAATTTCGAAAACGAGCCGCCCTCAATCCGTGAAGCTCTGGCAAATGTGTCAAACGAATGCACGCGGCGCTAAGGCCAGAGCCACAAGTTGAAAACGACCCGCCCTCCATCTGTCAAATAGTAGAAAATGTTTAAGCTTCAGATTTCTCCATTGTGAGGAAGTCTCACGCGAAACACCCGGCCCGCCCTAATAACTAGCCTCGGGGTGCGACAGGGAGAAGTTACAGATGTAAGGGAAAAATGGGGGAGGAGGGGGAGGAGGAAGAGGAGGAGGAGGAGGAGGAAGAGGAGGTGGAGGAGGAGGAGGAGAAAGAGGAGGAAGAGGAGGAAGAGGAGGGTTGCAGGATTGTCCAAAACGACTCAGGATGGAAAGCTGGCCTCGGGGAAAGGGCCCAGAGCTCCAGAGATCCCGTCCCGAGAAACTCGTGGCAAGGCGTGCAAGCCAGATGACATACCAGCAGAGGTTTTCAAAGCAGCAGCAGTGTGGAGCCCGGGCGGTTTGACTGGGTGCTGGACATGTGTAACGAGGCATGGGAGCACAAGAACATTCCAGAGGATCGGGCTTTATCTCGCGCGTGTTTGCTGCGCGAGAAGGGCGAACCTGCGTGCTGCGAGAAGTGCCGGCCACTTTCCTTTCAGTGCGTTGCTCTGAAAGCGTTTTCCGCGATGCTGAAAAACCTTTTCCTCGCTGCAGGCGTGGATGGACGCGCCTGGCACAGTCAGTTTGGCCGCCGGAAAGGGCGCGGCACGGAGCGCGCTATCTACGTCGCACGCCGGCGGATCGAGATGGCGCGAGCGAGCAAGAACGGCGCGGTGATGCTGGTATTCCTGGATTGGAAGCAGGCGCATGGCAGCGCACGCACGGAAAGCATGCTGGACGCACTGCGCCGGATGGGTCTCCCGCCAGAGTTCACGAACATGGTGGAGTCACTCATGGCGCAAAGGAGGTGCGTTGTCAGCGACAACGGAGGTCAAGCGGCTGAACGCCCGCAGGAAGCTAGCATCTCGCAAGGCTGCGCGCTGAGCCCTCTGCTGTTCGTTCTCGTAATGGCAGCCTCACTGCATGGCGCAGTGACGCTGCTCCCTGCAGGAGCCTGCCGGGCGCGCGACGCGGGCGAGCTGTCTGATTGCGAGCACGCCGGCGACACTCTCTTAATCGGTGAGTTCGACGCACATGTGAACGACTTTTTGGCAGCAGTTGTTGCCGCAGGCAAGCGGTATGTCGTGGAGCTACACTGGCAGAAGTTCCAGGTCTTAGCTGCGCAGTCGGCGAGCGACGCCCGCGCCCCCGATGACTCGCAATTGAAGCACGTGGAGCACGCGCAGTACCTGGGCGCGCAGCTCACGGTTGACGCGAGCATGAGCCACGAGCTGGGCAGAACAATCGGGGAAGCTCGACGTTCCTTCACGGCTCTGCGCCAGGTGTGGTCCCATGCATCCCTGACGTGGAATCGAAAGTCGAGTCGAACTTGCTGTGCGGGCTCAGCAGCGCGTGCTTCACGAAAGCGCAGCTGCGTCGCCTCGACGGCTTTCAAAAGAGATGTCTGCGACAGATCATCGGAGTGAAGCCATCGTGCATATCGCGCATTTCCACCCAGGACGTCCTGGCGGGAGCGGGATGCGAGGCGGCCAGCACGCAGTTACTTTTCCGACAGCCACCGCTTTTCGGCCAAGTGCTTCGCGCCGATCCCAGTCATCCACTCCACGCTTGTTTTTTTTCGCCGCCGGCATGAGGCTGGCCACGGCGAGGCACGCGACGCGAGTGGGCCGCCCGCGCAAGGAGTTCGCCCCCGAAATGTTCAAGCACGCGACGTGCATGTTCGGCAACATGTCAGCGGCGGCGCAGACCGCCTGCACCCCAGCGCGCTGGGAGCGCCGATGCCGACAGCACGTCTTCCATTAGTGCCGCGCGTGCGCCCAGCTAGCTTATCTCGTGTGTCCTTCCTTCCCTTTCTTCCTGCCTTGTCCCATCTCTGGCTCTCGGCTTCCCCCTCTCTCCTTACCCCTCGGCATCCTTCCCCTTGCCCTTGCGTCTCCTTGCCTTTGTGTCTTGTGTGTGTTCTCCCTCCGTCTCCCTGGCTTCCTCTTCCCGTCCCCTCGTCTCTCCGTTCGTCGGCCCGGTCTGTCCTTTCCTGTCGTCCTCCCTTCCCCGCTTTCCATTTCCCTCTCCTCGTCTCCTCGCTTTCCCGCCGGCCCCGGTTCCTTGCCTTGCCCGCGCTTCTTTGTCGGCCCGCCCTGTGGTCCGAACAAGAATTCGCTGTATTTTCCGCCTGTGTTCACGCCCGCGCGCCGCCTGGCGCATGGTTTGTCAGTCAGTCAGTCAGTCAGCCTGACCCGATACCGCCGAATGGCCTACACCAGAGGCAAACCACAGTTCGTGGACGTTTTGTTTTCCTCGCATGTCCCAGAATTTCCCCACGGTTACTTTCAACTCTCTCTCTCTCGTTCTCTGTCTCTCTCCCCCGTCACTATTCCAGAACTTCTCTACGATGTCTCCTTCTCTACGCAAGCCTACGTATATGCACGTGTATATATGCATACATATATATATATATATATATATATGCATATCTATAAAATGTAAACAAATGTGTGCCATATATGTATATGTATATAGATATACATTGTGTGTGTTTGTTCTCGTTCTCTCTCTCTCTCTCTCTCTTTCTCTCGGCCTCTTGGGGCCTCCTGGGGTGATCGTGGAATGGAAGGCTAGGATGTTCTGTTCATGTCCCCTCTCTTGGGCCCTTTTTTGGGCCTTCATGGAGCCCTCTTGGGCAGTTTGGGGCGTCTTTTCGGGTCGTCTTGGGGGCCCCCTTGGACTGTTTTAGGGCCCTCTCGGAGGCCCCTTGGGCCGTCTTGGGGCGGTCTTGGGGGCTTCCAGGGCCGCCTGGGGGCGTCGGGAAATCGAGAAGGCGAGAATGCCAACATCCTTCAAAAGCCGAAGGGAACGCAATGATTTTTGCCTCTTGGGGCCCTCTCTGGAGTTCTATTGGAGGCCTCTCTGGGCGTCTTGGAGGCCGCTTGGGCCGCCGGGGGGCCTTCTTGGGCGTCTCGGAGCGATCGGTCGGCGACTCGGAGCCCTCCTGGACCCTCTCGGGGGCCTCTTGGGGGGGCCCTCTCGGCCCGTCTCGGGGGCCCCCTCGGGCTCGAGACTGCAGGCGGCAGCAGCTCCCGGAGCCCACGGGGGCACGCGGGAGGACCCACGGGGGGCACGCGCCGAGCCCCGCCGAGTTGCGGAGCCAGGGGCCCCGGGCCACTCGAAGGCTTGTCAGGGCAGAGGGCGGAGGCTCAAAGGGGACGAGGCAGAGGGCCCGAGAGGGCGCGCCAGCTCCATGCCCAGCGGCACGGTGGCACGCGCCAAGCCCCGCCAAGTTTCGGAGCCAGGGGTCGGAGCAATTCGAAGGCTTGTCAGGGCAGAGGGCCGAGGCTCAAAGGGGACCAGGCAGAGGACCCGAGAGGGCGCGCCAGCTCCATGCGCAGCGGCACGGTGGCGAACTTTGCCTTTTTTGGTATACGCGCTCCAATGGCTGTGGTTTCTCTTCTAGATCTCTCTCTCTCTCTCTCTTTCTCCCGTTCTTTCTGCCTGCGCTCAACTCCGATCTGTATTCTCTGGTATATGTTTTCCACTCCCTGCTATACAGTCTCTCACTCTGGCCATGGGCGCAAGTACTCCCTTTCGAATCCGTCTCTCGCTCCCTGTCTGTCTGTCTGTCTGTCTGTCTGTCTGTCTGTCTGTCTTCCTGTTACTGCTTCGCTTACTTCATCTACCATCTGAATTCGCTCTGCTTTTATGGTAGAGTTTCCCTTTCGGAGTTTTTCAAGTCATCTCTTTGCTACACACCCTGAGCTGTATTCTGAATTCTCTACGATCGACTCTCTCATTTTGACTATGCTCGCAATAACTTGGGTACTTGGAACCAGGGAACGGATACCCAGAACCAGGAACCTGGGAACGAGGCCGCCCACCGAAACCGGCCCGGAATCCAGAAGCGGAGGAGCACGGCCGCCCACCGTAATTGGTCTGGCTTTTCCGCCAGAGCCCAGAAAGGTGATCCTTGGGAACCCGGCCGCCAACCGAAATTGGCCCAGTACTTGCGCCAACCCTTCAGTGCAAGCGTTGATGGGGAAATATCCGTACTGACCTCTTCAGTGCAATCACCGAGCTCTCTCCCTCTGTCTTCTCTTTTTGTCTCTCTATCTCTTGTTGTATTTATGTAAGCGTTTCTCTACTGACTCTTTCTCACTGTCTTTTTTTTTTTTTTTTTTTCTCTCTCTCTCTCTCTGTTTACTTCGTCTTCGTCTTCGTCTTTCTCTTTCTTTATACTATTTATATGTATACACTGATTTATATGTTGCTGCTCCCTCTCTCTCTCACTCGCTGTCTATCCCCCTATTTCACTCTCTCTCTCTCTCTGTATTTCCTCGTTGTTTTGTTTCTATCCCTCTCTATGTCTCTGTCTCTGTCTCTTCTCTCTCTCTCTCACGTCGGCTTCTTCTACTCTCTGAGCTCGCTCTGCTCACCATTCTCCAAAGGCTGCGCGGACGCGAGAGACCGCTGGGCGCATGAGCGGCGAGGACTTCGGGGGGGAATTGGGATGTGGAGCTTCCGCAATCAGCGAGAGTTCTAGGAAGGATCTGGAGTGGAGTTCTGGGTTCGGCCAGCGCGATTCGTGATTCAGCCGCGTTGATATCCATGTACCGAGAGTTCTAGGGTCTCGCTCGTCGCTTCGCTTCCCAGATTTCTCTGTTGGCTCGTTGCCAGTGCCCCTGGCTGCCTCTTTGCCTCAGCACCTCGCAGCCTATGCTCTGCGACCATTGTCTCATCGCCCGAGTCCTTCGTTGCCTCGTCGCCAGCGTCCCCAGTTGCTTGGTTGTCGCTGGCTGCGGGCACGTTGTGCGCTGGCTGCCTCGATGTATCAGTCCCTCGTCGCCTTGGGCCCTGGCATACTTGTTCGTTCAGGGTTCCTTAGTTACCTCTTGCCCCGAACGCGTTGTGCCTTATGTTAGGCTGCCGAAGCGCCATGGTCTTTTTCCCCAATCAGTGCTTGCACTGAAGGGGTCTTAGCGGAAGTTGAAAGATTTGGCGAAAGTTTCCTGCCGGTTTTGGTAGCAGGCTGGGTTCCAGGGTTCCCGGTGATTGGTTCCTGGGTTCCCGTATATTGGTTCAGGGCCGATTTCGGTGGGTTCTGGGTTCCCGGGCTCCCGGGTTCCTGGTCGATTTCCACAGGGAAAACCATCCACTGATTGGATTTTTTCTCTGGTGTAATTAGTGGCCTCGTTGTCACAGTAGTCAAGTCAGGCATTCCTTGCCAGAGTCCCTCGCTGCTGCGCTGCCTTGTTGCCTCAGTCTCGCAGTGCCTCGTGACCTCGATCCCTGGGCAGGCTCCTCGCCTCGTCCCGCCTCTCGCTGCGCTGCCTCGCTGCCTCACCGACTGGCTGCAGCGTCGCAGTGCCTCTCGTTGCCTCGACTTGTCGCTGCCTCGGGCCACGCGACTGTTCGGCGCTCGTGACCTGGATGCCAGAGTCCTTCGTTGCCCCGCTGCCTGGCCGTCGGGGTCCGTCTTCCCTCGTCACCAAAGTCACCTTTTGCCGCGGTGCCTCATTACCCTTCGGCCCCGAGCGCGGTGGGCGCTCGTCATCTCGTTGCCTCCATCAAGCTGTCAAGTGTCTCTGGCAGTGTTTGGTTGACGGGACCAATGCCTCTTCGGGCATGACAGAAGCGGGCACATAATTCTTGCAGATGTCAACTAGGCTTCAGTGGCGCAGGAGGCTCTGGACCAGCCAGTCAGAGTGAGGACGTTCGTTGAAGAGTGGAGTGCGGGGAGCGGGGGCAGCCAGAGGAAGCTAAGGGTGGTACATCGTTGGGCCGTAGCTCTGGGGTGTTTCAAATCCACGCGCAGGAGGTTCCACACGCAGTGGGGCCCCCCCCACCACACACACGCATACAAACACACACACACGCGCGCGCACGATCACGCGCACCCACGCGCACGCACGCACGCACGCACGCACAAACACATACACACATGCACACACACACACACACGCACACGCAAACGCACACACACACACGCACCACATGCAGCACACGGCATCACAACACACCACACCACAATCAGACATAACACACCACACTACAACACACACGACGCACACACAACACACAACCACACACACGCGCACACCAACACGCACACGCACATACACGCACACGCACACTCGCACACACATGCGTACGCATACACACGCACACATATGGACACGCACACGCACACGCATACGCATACGCGCACGCACGCGCACGCACACGCACACGCACACGCCCACGCCCACGCCCACGCACCCGCACCCGCACCCGCACGCGCACACGCAGCCGCACACGCACGCGCACGCGCACGCGCACTCGCACGCGCACGAGCACGCGCACGCGCACACACAGACACACACACACACACATACACACACACACACCCACACCCACACCCACACCCACACGCGCACGCGCACGCGCACGCGCGCGCGCGCACGCGCACGCGCACGCACGCGCACGCGCACGCGCACGCGCACACGCACGGGCACACGCACGCGCACGCGCACGCGCACGCGCACGAGTACGCGCACGCGCACACACGCAGACATACACACACACCCACACCCACACCCACACCGCACGCGCACGCACGCGCACGCGCACGCGCACGCGCACGCGCACGCGCACGCGCACGCGCACGCGCACGCACACGCACGCACACGCACACACGCACACGCACACGCACACGCACACGCACACGCACACAGCACACGCACACGCACACGCACACGCACACGCACACGCACACGCACGCCTACGCCCACGCCCACGCCACGCCCACGCACACGCCCACGCCCACGCCCACGCCCACGCCACGCCCACGCCCACGCGCACGCGCGCAGGCGCACGCGCGCACGCGCACGCGCACGCGCACGCACACGCGCACGCGCACGCGCACGCGCACGCGCACGCGCACGCGCACGCGCACGCGCACGCGCACGCACACGCCCACGCCCACGCACACGCACACGCCCACGCCCACGCGCACGCGCACGCGCACGCGCGCGCGCACGCGCACGCGCACGCGCACGCGCACGCGCACGCGCACGCGCACGCGCACGCACGCACGCACGAACGCACACACAAACACACACATGCACACACACACACAAACACACATAAACACGCAAACACACGCGCAAACACACAAATTCACACACACACACACACACGCACACACACACACACACACGCACACACAAACACGCACACACACGTACACACATACGCAATCACATACACATACACATACACATACGCATGCACATACACATACACGCACACATACACATACACATACACCCACGCACGCACACAGACACTGTTGGGTTCTCAGGTGGCTGAGGTGGTGATGGCCCCGCCGCCTGGGCTCGAGGGTTTTGCGCGGGAGGTTGAAGGGCTTCTTGCCCACCTTTGTAGTGATGAAGGGCTTCGGTGGACCAGCACCCGTTGGCGCCAACACGCGTTCCGAGGATCATCGAGGGTTGGGCGGTGAACTGCCTAGAGCCCTCCTGCTCGGCTACGCGCAGGGCTCGTGCGCCAGCGGCGCGCCGAGCGGGGTTGCCACGCGGCGCGCAGGGCTCGTGCCCCTGCTGCGCGCGCGCTGCGGAACTACCTCGGCAGTTTCCGTGCGATCGGCTCGGGTGCGGTGTCGGCCTGGCTCCCGTGGGATCCTGGGCGGCCGCCCAAGCTTGCGGCTTTGACGCTGACTGTGTGCTACGGTGGGGGCATTGGGTAAGGAAGCATTGTATGAGGAATCCAGGGTCTGGAAGCCAATGGAACTCCGTCCGCGGATTGGCAGTGGACGTTGCCGCCGCCCTCATCAGATAAGGAACCCTCCAGGGTCCGAAGCCTCCCGCGCACGTTCCTCAACCAAGGCCCCCACGGCAGTGGGGGTTGTAAGACAGTGCGCCACGCACGCGCGCGTGGGGTTCCACGCGCGGGGTTCTGCACGCACGGGGCTCCACGCGCGTGGGTTTTCACACGCGTGGTGCTCCACGCGCAGAAACGGTCTTCACACTCATCGGGGTTCCACGCGCCACACGCTCCCGTAGGACTGGGGCCTACTCGCAGGTGCCACACTTTAATACACAATGTGATTGTTTGATTATTCGAAAATTCATTGTTTTTCTGGGGGGAGGGGGGGCAGGATCCTTTCATTTCTAATTGTTCTGTCCTGGGCCCCTTCCTGGCCACCAGGGGGCCAGGGGCCAGGAACAGTCAGAAACGAGCGCACTTAGAGAAATGAGCACGATTGGACATGAACGACGTGCACTGTTGGTGCCATGTCTTGAGGGGCTCCTCTCTGTGGGTGGCTACTGCTGTCCGCACGCCATCCAGCCTGGGATGCGAGCTGTGGAGGTTGCCGTCCGAGGTCCGGGCCCGCAGTGGAGACCGCCCACGTGCGGCCGAGGACGACGCGCCGTCTCGGCGAGCGAGCTGCCCCTCTTGGAGCTTTTTCGCTGGCGCCTGCGAGGCTCCCAGGGCTGTGTTGTGGCACCGGGAGGAGGAGGCCGCGCTGCTGGCCAGCAGAGAAGCAGCCTGGAGATCCTGGGTCCGCGACGCGGTTGTGGGGGGGCCAGAGCGGCCCGTCGCTTTACCGAGGTCCGCGGGATCCAGGAAGTGCTCACGGAGGAGCACAGAGTCCAACCGTTCGAGCTCGCCGACGATGCGTGTCGTGAGTGGGCCCACGTGTGGACCACTCACAAGTGCGACGATCTGGTTTTGCCAAGCGATTCGAGGTATTGGTCGAACCTGCCATCCGATTGGGGTTTGCGAGTTGAGGAGTGCTATTGCGAACTTTCCCCCCCAAGACGGCGGTAGGCTGTGAGATCCACCCTCGGTCGCTCCAATATCTTTCTGATGAGATGTTAGAGGTGCTGGCTTCCCTTCTCATGCAATGTGAGCATGCGCTAGTCTAGCCTAGGAAGCGGATAGTCAGTCGACTCGTCTGATTGCCGAAGACAGACGGCGGCCACCGCCTGATCGCCATTCTCGACAAGATTCTGCGTGTGCGGGGTAGGATTCGCCGAGCTGTCACTGACGAGTGGGAGGCGGGAAGTCGTACTCGGGAGTTTGGGGAGCTGGGAAGGGCAGGAGTTCGAGCGACTCAGCGTTCGATCTGAACCCTTCAGCTGAAGTAGCCAGAGCCACGGGCTGACACTCTGTGACGCTTTTGCTTGAGATGGTGAAGTGCTACGATATGATTGAACTTCCGGTGCTTTTTCAGATTTTTCGGCAGGTAGGCTTCCCGCTTGATTGAGGTGGATGGGCATCCAATCCTACGTTGCCCCTCGCAGGATCGATGCGTTCGGTTCCTTGGCTGAGCCGTTTGTTTCGTTCCAAGGGGTCCTGGCGGGATGTTCGGCGGCCGCGTCGATCATGCCAGCTGCCTGTGCGTTTTGTGATCGGAAGGTTTCCTGTCCAGGCGCGTGCTTTGATGGATGGCGTCTCGTTCCGCTGGTCGGGCCCCGATCCCGAGAAATGTAAGCAAGTCCTTGTCGTTGCTCGGGAGTTCTGCCACCAGGTGCGCCTGATTGGCTTTCAGTTGCGCCCTGACAATGCAGGATTTGTTGCCTCGAGTCTGGCCGCCTCCAAGCATGTGGGAACGTCGGCCAAGCTCTTAGGCGTGAAAGGGTTCGCGCACATGAGAAACCTGGGGCACGATCTGTCCGGCACAATGGTTGTGCGCGAGATCGAGGCCAAGAGGCGTGTTGTCCCGGCCAAGCGTGAGCACCGTAGACAGGTTCTTGAGAAGACGGCTGGCACCAAGGTTGCTGGTCTATGGCGCACGGGTCTCATACAGAGCGGAGGACACTGAGCCTCAGTCTCGGGCGTGACCAACGAGACCCTTCGGACCCTCAGGGCCTTAGCTGGGGGCCTTATAGGGGCGGGGGTGGCTTCGCACGTGACTGGTTTCCCTTTTGCGCATAAGGACCCCAGCTTTGACCCGATTGTAGATGCCACCGTTCCCCTTGCGTTTCGATATTGCTGCTGGGCATGTGATCGGAGGATGCTCGATTCCGATCTACGTGCGGCCTGGATGGCTGCTCATTCACGTCTAGAGGATCCCCATCGCTGGAATCGTGTCCAGGGTCCGATGGGGGCGGTTGTGTTGTCTTGCCTCAGGGTCGGCTGGTTTGCGATGTCACATCTCCAGCTTAGGACGGACCACGGGGAAGTTATGTCGCTGTTCATGACCTGCCCCCAGGACGTCAAGCTGAGGCTGCGCGAAGGCATCAGTCGAGCTCAAGCCCGCCAGATTTCGGAAGCCATTCCCGAGGCCAGCAGGGATGAGCAGGTCTGGGGGCGTGCTCCTCGTTTAGGGATGTTGCCAGTGAAGGACCCGGCCAGGCGAGGGGCTCCGAGAGCTCTGATCGGCGGCAAGCTGCGCCCCCCCCGTTCGCGAGCGCCAGCGTGGTCTGCTGGCAAGTCCTAAGTGTGAGTTCCGATGCGATGCGGATGGCACCTCTGGCCACCGATGGCATGGGTGCAAAACAGGTCTGGGAACCAGGCGATGACCCAGATGGGGCACAGATGTTCCCAGACGACATAGAGCATGCCGAGTGGCTGAAGGACAAGTCCAAAGTTATTCCTCCCGACTTCGACACTCTTGAGTTGGCGGACGGGGTTCATCTCCTCCCTCTGCAAACTGAGCCTTTCCAAGCCAGATGTTCCCCAACAGTGGGGCGCCACTCACCTGCCCTGGGGGTTCAAGCTTTTTACCGACGGTTCTGGTTTGGCCAGCGGTCTACCCGAGGCTTGCCGCTGCGGGTTGGCTGTTGTTGAGCTGAGTCCTGGGGGATGGCCCATGCGGGCGCTCTTTGGGCCCTGGCTGGGGCCGCCCAAACTGTTCCTCGGGCCGACCGTTTTGCTCTGCTGCAGGCCATGCGACTTGGCCAGAGATGCGCGGAGGTAATTAGTGACCATTCATCTGCTGTGCTGGGGTCCCAGCGTTGGTCTGAAGACTTGGCCATGAGGCGTAGCAAGCACGCTTGCGTTTGGAGAGATACTTTTCCAGGTTTGCCCTGCAGACTCGCCTGTAAACGAGCGCCCGAGGTTCAGACGGACGCCGGCCCATGGGAGATTTCGACCCCCTTCCCTTTGGCGTGGGCCCCTCGAGCCGAGATCGGTCTTTGCCGACGGCCCTGTTCGATTCTCTTGGCGACGCGTGGGCTGGCTTTCTTTGCGAAGCTCGGTGCCCGCCAGCGCGCTGTCGCAGAAAGCGCGGTCTCTCAATGCTCAGTTGAGCGATTTGAGAAAGGCGTACATTTTTGTCTTCGCTTGGGCGGCTCAGCTCGTTGCGTCACAGGCTGAGCCCCCTTCCATGTCTCTGCTGGGTCCCGCCGGAATCCCACGGGGAGGCCCGCGTTGCCCCTTCTCGCCCACGACCTCGAGGTTGCTCAGAGCGGTGGCGCGAGGTGCACGCGGTGCCGCAGGTCGGGCAGCTCCCTTCTCACACGTGCCAAGTTGGAGCAGTCTGGAGAGAGATGCGAACCGACGCCGCTGCACCTGTATCTGACTGCGGCGAGAGCGGAGCGGCACAGTGGCCTCCCTCCGAGGGCGCGAGGTGCTGCTGTCTCTCTGGCCCTCCAAGGGTTGGGCTTCGCGAGTGTGATGGCCTGCATGCGCAGGCCCTTGAGGCCTTCGGGTTTCGGACAGGTGGCCGATGTGCTGACTCTGCGGCGCACGGGTCTCGATCGAGACGCCTGTCTCGCGGGGCTTGCTCGCCGAATGCCGTGGCCAAGCAGAGCGGGGCTCGGTGCAGTCTTGGCGCATTGCTGCCGCTCTGTCGGGGCGCGAGGTCCTCTGGGGGGCGGCGCGGCTAGCTGGCAGCGGCTGCGGCCGCGGGGCTGTCACCTAGCCGACGTAGCCCCGTAGTGGACCTCGGCCTGTGCGCACGTGTGCTGGGCCATTGCGTCGGGAATCCAGCCCGTGCCCCCCCTTTGCCTGCCAGCCCTCGTTCGAATCGGATGTTGCGCCTCGGCCTGCTCCCTGCTCCCTGTTCCCAGGGCTGTCTTGAGGCCATCTTGGGGCCATCTGGGGCCGCTCGGAAGCCATTTTGGGCCGTCTTGGTCCGTCCTGGGCCCTCGGAGGCCGTCCGCGAGCGGTTCTGCCGAGGCCGTCGGCTCCTCTTACCGCCCCCCCCCCCCGGGGCGTTTTCTTTTCGGGCGTCAGCCGAACTGCTGACGCTCCCCGCTCGAGGGGCTCATCCTCTCGCCGAGGTGCCCCTCGCTTGAGGTGCCCCTCGCTTGACACCGCTTTTTTTGCACAGACCTGCGTAGTCCCTCCAGACCGACCAGGTTGGGCCCCCGGGAGAGGGGGCTGGAGGCTGGCGCGCGGAGCAGATCCCAAGGGGATTGGCCCGTGTCTCCGCGCCATGCTGATCCATATCCGCTGCCCTGGATGCCCTCCTGGGCGATCTTGCTGGCTATGCTGCGACTCGTGGAGGCCCTGCGAGATCGCCCGGGATGTCCGGTGGAAGTACCCACGGGAGCCTCGGATGGGGGGCAGTGCACGCAGCGGCGCGGGTAATCGGGGGCTCGGGTCCCCCTCCCTTTCCTCCCCCTCCTCCGCCTCTGCGATCTCCTCCTACTGGATGTTCTTCCTCCTCGTGGTCCTCGCTCTCCTAGATCTCCCTCTTCCCCTTTCCCTCGCTCCTCATCGTCCTCCTCTTCCTCCACCCCCCTTCCTCATCCTGCCTCCCCCCGCCTCCCTCCTCCGCCCTCGACCTCCTCCGCCTCCTCCTAGCCCCGCGGGGCAGGCGCGGCTTCCACTGCCTCGAGATCCGCGGCCAGCGGAAGATGCAGGACGCCGCTTCGGCGGGTTGCCGCGGCCGGCCGTGGCGCCGCTCGGCCTCGGGCCCGGCACTCCGCCGCTTCCGCCTCGGCGGGCGGCCTTCGGGGGCGCCGGGGGGCTGGGTCCAGCGCGGCCCAGGCCAGCGTGCCCGCGGATGAGACGCCGCAGCCCCCTCGAAGCGCCGAGCTCAAGCGGGCGCTGTGCACCGTACATTCGAACCCTTGCGGCCTTCAGCGCGTTTCGCGGAGGAGGGGCAGGGCTGCAGGGGGGGGACCTATGCGGGGCTGGCCGAGGAGTTGGCGAGGAACCCCAGGCTCGCGATGGGCCGCCGCGATGCGTCTTCAGCGGCCCCGTTGCGGGGCGAAGTGGGCGCCGCTTGGGCCGACGAGGGGACGCTGCAGCCTGGGGGGGGGGAGTGGCGCCCCCCTGGCCTGCCTCAGGGTCCCCTTCGGCGGGGACTTCTCCGAGAAACCAGGACGATGGCGTGCCCGAGGAAGCTGCAGCCGTGGGTCGGGACGTGAGCTCTCAGGTGGAGCTCTCAGAGCCCTGGTCAGTGTCCTGGGGTCAGTGCCAGCGCCTCTTTGCATCTGGCGGCTGGCGTTGGCGGCGGCGGCGTGGGTCAGTTGATGATGTCGTTGCCCACGGCATGCTGAATTCTGCCAAGAGGCCACCTGTAGGGGTACGGGTTCTACGCTACCCACCCATAAGGGTGCCCTGACTCCCCCCGAGAGCCCGCAGGAGTCTGGTGGTGCGAGGGAGGCACGCCGCTGCGCGGCCCCGCCCACGTGGAGCTGCCGCAGTTCCTGCCCCTCACGCAGTTCTACATCGGGCGCCCGCCTCCCTCATCCTCGTCGTCGTCGTCGTCCTCGTCCTCCTCGGCCTCGTCCTCGTCCTCCACCTCCCCTTCCTCCTCCTCCTCCTCCTCCTCCTCCTCCTCCTCCTCCTCGCCTCCTCCTCCTCCACGTCCTCCTCCTCCTCCTCTCCTCCTCCTCTCCCTCCCTCCTCCTCCTCCTCCTCTCCTCCTTCCCTCCTTCCGTCCTCCTCTCTCTCCCTCCTCCTCCTCCTCCCTCCCCTCCTCCTCCTCCTCCTCCTCCTCCTCACGGCCAAGTCAGACCAGGATGGCGCTCAGGGTGAATTAAGGTCAGGGTCAAGCTGAAGTTCTTCCTCCTCCTCCTCCCTCTCCTTCTCCGCCGCCTCCTCCTCCTCCTCCTCCTCCTCCTCCTCCTCCTTCTCCTCTCGGGGGAACCGAAGTGGTCACCGAACGAAGACCAACATCAGTTCCTGCCAGCGTTCGTACTTGCTGAGGACGCGGTCCGTTTGAGGCAGCACGTCGCGTGCCGAACAGGCGCCAGTTTCGAACAATATTTGCTGTTGGTCGTCGCACCTATTTTTCAGTATCCATTTCGGGCGTGCGAATCCTTCCATGTTGAGCGCGTTTTGGCGTTGCTCACTTTGCCCGTGTCAAGCGCATCCTTGCCGTATTGCGCGCAATCGCCACGCTTGACCTCAAGCTGACCAAGTGCATGGTTACCCTGGTGCACGCCGCTTTCTCCGCGCAGGCTCGAGATCCGACTCGGCGGCTCTAGGAAGCATTCGTCTTTTGCTTCCTCGACTTCGATATTGTCGACACGATCCGCTATCTGGGCTTCTGGGTAGGCCCCGCCATGACACTGTCGCGCCAGTGGGAGGGGCCACTTGGTGAGGTTGGCCATCGCGTGCGCGTGGCTGCTCCTAGCGGGGCTAGGGTTTCGGCACTTGCCCTCTCGCACTCCGCGGAGGTCTTGTCGGCACTGTCTTGCCCTCCGGTGCGTCCGTTGCCTCGCGGACGTCATGGCTGGGGAGTTGGCCATTTGGCGCGCCTTTTCACGAGTCCTCTCGGTGTGTTTCCGCCTCATCGGCCTCAGCTCAGTTCCTGGGGGGGCCCTACTGTCCCGTCGTGGCTTGCCACGCGTGCTGCTGCGCTGGTGCGGACCTCGCGGATTACCTTTCCAGATTCACGCGGTACTCGCATCTTGGAAATCTACGTTGCGTGTTCGGCACGATGATTTGCTTTTCTGGATGGTGGGTTCAGGGGGAATCTTGTCGCAGTACTGGCAGTGCACCTCGTTCGCCGAGTTCCTGGACCGCGTCGCAAACGTCTCTGGCCCGATCGTTGGCTCTTCGACCCAGCTCACGGTGACGAGCTCGGCGATCTCCGACCCTGCCGCTGCAGCTGACGGACCCCCTCGTCGTGCCAAGCTCCACCGCGCAGCGCGCAGTGCCATGGACGACCTCCTCACTTCCAGTGGTGTGCTTCGTGACATGTCCGTCCTCTCCACGTGGTGGTTTTGCGCAGCGGCAGTCATCTTCTGCGTTGGACTCGGATGCTTTGCAGGCTTTCTGCTCTGAGGTCTTGGCCTGCGATTGGCAGCCTTCCCTCTGGCTGGTGCACGCCTTATCCTAGTCTCCGCGCCGGTGGTCGCGATCGATGTAGCTGGGTCGTTCGGTCACCGTGCCGTCCGCTGTCGCTGGGGGAGCTCTGCGCTGCATGCTCCGCGGGGTGGGAGGGCACGGCAGGCGCTCGGGCGCGCAGCTCGCTGTTCGGCCAGGCACGCGCGTGACTCGGGAGTATCGCTCCTCTGGGCTTGCAAGCACTTCGGGGTCAAAATCGGAACAGTCTAACGACCTGCCCAGGTCGGAGCAGCTTAACGACATGCTCATTCCGCAGCCTGTTAGCGACCCGCTGAGATCGGGGCAGTAACGGCCTGCTCAGGTCAGAGCACTTGAACGAGTTGCTCTTGTCGGAATGGTTTGACGACCTGCTCAGGTCGGAACAGTTCAACGACCTGCTCAGGTCGAAGCAACGTAACGATCGCAGCCATCCGCTCCGATGGACCAGCACCGCCAGCGCTGTCGCCTGTTGGCCCTCAAAGGAGTCTGTACCTCAGACTCCTGGGACTGGACTGCCCTCCTGATCATATTCTGGCCCCGCGCCGGCGAGATGTTGCATGCACCTTCCCCGCACGCCATCCAGTGTGGCCGACCAGGTGCCAGAGACCGCAGCAGAGACTGTAGTTCAGCGATGCGCGCGCAAATAGGAGTTTGCTCCCCTCAGGTCTTGCGGGCGCTTCGCACTCCATGCCAGTAGCCACCTACACCGACGGCCCAGAAACCTCGGCAGCCCCGGTGCTGGAAGTCGCTGCCGAAGCTTGGGCGCGCAGTCCAGGGGTCCGCACGACACGCCTCCGTCTCGAGGTGCCTGCCCCCTGAAACTGCCCGTGCGGCATGCCCGCCCCCTGCAGCTGCTACAGCCTGTTGTGACCACCGGCCGCACCCGGAGCAGCCCCACGACGAGCTCCTGAGCCCCGTCCCCAGCACGTGCCGCGTCGCCCGCTCGCCCCGGGAGGGCCCGCGCTGCTTTTGCACCGCCGCTGCCGCCGCCACGGTGGGCGGCCTCTGGAGCGCGACCTCCCCTGCGGCAGCACTTGAGCGCGAGAGTGCACTTGGGGGAGATCTGCTCCAAGGGCGCCTGGCCCCGATGTATTAAGCTCTCTCTTCTCCCTCCCTCCTCCGTCCTCCTTCTTCCGCCTCCCTCACCCTCGTCCTCCTGCTGTTCCCTTTTCCTGCTCCTCCCGTTCTCTCTCTCTCTCTTCCGCCTCCTGCCAGGGCTCTGCTCCTGGCCAGTCCTTCTGGGACTCCCCCGTCCTCCAGCAGCGCTTCGGGGGTTCTCCTCCCTCTCCTCCTCGCCCGTCCCCTTTCCCCCCCCCTCGCCCCCTTCCCCCTCCTGACCCGCAGCGACAAGATGACGAGCGAACCTGGCACAGATCACGGAGATCTCAGAGGGGCTTCGGCCCCCGCGCTGCCGCCTCCATGCCGCCCCGCCCGCGCCCTCCGCGCGCGGCCGCGGCATCGGCGCCCGATCAGATCCGATCCGATCCCCTCCTCGCCCCTCGCCTCCTCCCCCCTTCTCCCCTTCTCCCCTTCTCCCCGTCCTGCTCCTCCTCCGCCTTCCCGCCGCCTCCTCTGCAGTCCCGAGGGGCCCACCCCCTTGGGCCAGTCGGGGCTGCAGGGGCAGCGGAAGCAAGTCCTCCCAGCGCGTTGCCCGGAGCGCTGCCGGAGCGTTCCGGAGCGCCCGGGAACGGCAGCGGCGCCCGGCACGTCCTCGAGAGCCGTCGGTAGCCATCGGTCGTTGACAGTAGGTGTTTTGGGATCCCCAGATTCCAAAAATCTACTCCTACTTCAATGATCGAGTGGCTTTTTTTCCCGTACTCTTTAGGGGGCGGGCGGAAACAAAACCTCTTTTCTTACTTCATGTTTCTACCTACTTCTTCCGACCGACGTGTATTCATTTTGTCGGATCGGTCTCTCAAGCTCTCCGCCACCTCAAGCGGTGGGCGTTCAGAGCAGGAACGCCGCAAAGCCACAGGGAAGCGTGGCGTTGACAGTCTAGCTCCGCACCCGCGCTAAATGCTCTATATCGAGCAAGAACACAACAACGCCCCAGGACAGCAAGGCATCGACAGTGTAGCTCAGCAGCAGCACAGCGGCCGGGGAGCTCCCGCGACATGCACACGAGCGTTGTTCCACCCCAGCGGATGAGGACAGAGGACGCGTTCCGAAACGCTTTCACCGCGTTCCGGAGCTCCCTGGAACGGCAGAGGCGCCCGTACGTTCTTCAGAGCCGCCCGGTCTCAGAGATCCCCGAGTTGCGCTGGCCAAATTGTGTCCTTCTCCTCGCTTCATTTATTCAATCGCCTCGCTCACTCCTCGGGTCCATGCTGCATGTAGTGTGTAGTGGGCTTCGGCCAGACTGGGTCGTGGACAAGGGGCCTTGCTGGGAGGCTTGTAGGGAATTTCTTGGGAGGCCTCTCGGGGGCTTCGTGGCGGCATTTTGGGGCCTCTTGGGTGCCTCTTGAGGCCTCTCGGCGGTGGTTCGGGGACCGTCTTGGGGGCCATCTTTGGGGGACAGGGCTCCAAGTGGCAGGCAGTTCGGATTCCCCTTTTGGGGCTCTGTTAAGGGTCTCTGGAACCCTCTTAGGGGGCTTGTTGGACCGTCTTGGTGCCTGGCTTGGGGCCGTCCTGGGAGCCCCTCGGATTGTCTTGCGGCGAGATTGGGGGCCTTCTGAGCCGTCTTGGGGGGTCGGAAGCCCGAAAAGGGGGTAACGCCAAAATCCTTCGAAAGCCCGAGGGCGCGCGAATCAGGAACACATGCCACGTCGTGGCTCCGGCTCTTGTTTTCCAGATTCCAGGTTTTGCTCTTTGCTTCGCCTCGGGGCTGTGAGAGATCTACGTGACAGCCAATACAAGTTGAAGTTGCCTGTACTTTTACATCCTCGTTTTTGTTGAACTCCCTGTGCTGCTAGCCTTAGGTCGGGCGTGTCCCCCTACAGGCAGATTTTGGACGCAAAACGAAAATAGTCAACAAAAAATGAAAAAATTCTCCAACATATTCCAAAACTCGTACCCTGACTATTTTTGATCATTTTTGAATATTCCCCCTGTAGAGGGACAGGCCCGACTTAATGCTAGCCTGTTGCCGGACATCTCAGCAGCTCCGACACAATTCATCGTCGATTCCCCAGCAAATGTGGGAACATATGGGAAGTGGGGGGGGAGACAAAAACCGCAGAAAATATGGGAAAATATGGGGAACCCTGTTACTTTTGCGTATTTCTTTGTGTGCCCCAGGGCCCCTTCGGACTCGGAGGAGGCGGGCCGGCGGGGCAGACCGGCGCAGGCGCTTCGCGTCGACGAACCACTCGGTGCTCTTCCTGTGGGTGCGCGGCTCCGGCGCCGACAAGAGCCTCGTGATCGTGGTGGTGCAGGAGCGCGGGGGGCCCCCGAACGGTGCGATGACCACACCGTGCGGTGAGTCGGTGGGGCTTCGGGGTCGCCGCACGGTTCTGGGACTCGGGTCGTTCTCCGAGGACGTCTCGGGCGACGGGGGGCCTCCGAGGTCCCAAGCCCGTGCTGTGACGGACCGTGCGGTGAGGTCTTGGGGGATGTCGAGGTCACCGAACGGTCTGTCACCGCACCGCTTCGGGACTCCCAAGGAGTGCGGGTCGAGCAGTGGCGAAGCGTCTTAGCTCGCCTGTAGGCCCACGAAGGAACGCTCTGATGATTGTCTGTGGTCTGCACGAGGTGTTCTCAGAACATTTTTCTGGCTGGGACCGGCTTGTTCTATCGCATCGGGTTTATGTTCTAAGATTGCTGTCTTTGTTCTCAGAACATTTTTTGGGTGCGCGGCTCCGGCGCCGACAAGCGCCTCGTGATCGTGGTGGTGCAGGAGTCCCAGACCCCCTCGCGTTGTGAAAAAATCGCAATGGGAGGTTCTTTGTTATTCTCGGCCCCCGGGGGCCCTTCCCGAGCTGCAGGGCCGTCAGGAAACGGTTCCAGAGGAAAAGCCAGTCCCGGGGAATGGGTCCGGACCTCTGGGGGTCGCGTCGTGAAGGAATCATGACGTCGGGGGCCTGGGGTGCGTGGTGCTCGCGCTCTTGACGGGCCGGCACCGCTGAGGCCCCTCTCGGAGGGAGGAGGGCGCTTTGTCCACCCTCGGGGCCACAGCGCGCGTTACGCCCTCTACCCTCCCCCCCTCCCCACCCCACGCTCCCCCTAACAGTGCGTCCCTGGCACTGCCGCAGTGCGTCCAGCACCACAGTCTGGGGGGGGGCGCTACTTTCTGCTCCCTCCCGTCCCCCTCACCTCACGCCCGTTCTGGGAGCAGGGACGACGTAGGAGGGAGCTCCGCAGCAGTGTGGGTTGCCGCGACGGCGTGGCGACCCTGCGAGAGGGAGGCGCGGGCTAAGGCCGCCTTGCGGAGTGCTTGCTGTGCAAGAGGCTTCTAGGAAGGGACCAAAGTTCAAAGGCAGCCCCCTTCGGGTCAACGCGTCCGCCATGGCCGCGGCTGGCACACGACGTAGGTGGGAGGACCCAGTCCTCCAGAGACTCGAAGATATCGAGTGTGGGGTCAGCGACCTCGGCCTCGGGTGGCCTGCTTCGGACCCTGGTGCTGTCAGCAGGACAGCCCAGGACGGAGAGCCAGTGTTCTGGAGAGCGTCGAGAGGTCTGGGGATGGCCAGAGACGTCGGAGACTTGGGGTTGGCTTGAAACTGGCTCCGAAGGCCAGTGGGGTGGCCTTCTCAGACGCCGCTCCACCTCTCAGAGACCCTCCTGCCTGGCAGAGTGCGTTTCTATCGCCCCTGCAGGCAGGGGCAGGGCCCTTCTAAGAAACCCCTCTGCCTTCTCAGAATGCCGCCTGCTTGCCCTGCTTCCTTGTGCGCTCTGTGTGTGCGCGTGTGTCTACATGTGTATGTGTACGTGTGTGTGTGTGTGTGTGTGTGTGTGTGTGTGTGTGTGTGCTGTGTGCTGTGTGCTGTGTGCTGTGTGCTGTGTGCTGTGTGCTGTGTGCTGTGTGCTGTGTGCTGTGTGCTGTGTGCTGTGTGCTGTGTGCTGTGTGCTGTGTGCTGTGTGTGTGTGTGTGTGTGTGTTGTGTGTGTGTGTGTGTGTGTGTCTGTTTGTGTGTGTGTGAGAGTGTGTGTGTGTGAGTGTGTGTGTGTGTGTGTGTGTGTGTGTGTGTGTGTGTGTGTGTGTGTGTGTGTGTTTAGTTTATGTGTCTCCGTAACCATTCTGGCTCAAGTGCGAACTGCGCGCCCTGGTGGCTCGTGTTTGCACTAAGCCAACGGGCAGGCTCAGGGGCGCAGGAGGAGGAGGAGGAGGAGGAGGAGGAGGAGGAGGAGGAGGTGGAGGAAGCCTGCAGCGAAGCCGCGCTCGGGCCCGCCTCCTGGGCAGTGCCTGCGGGTGCAGGGGCCGCTCCCCTGCTGTGAGCGGCGCTTCTGCGCTCCCCTCGCGGAGGCCCCTTCCCGCTCCGAGGCTTGGCATTGTTCCGATGTGTTCATTTTCTCGGCAAGGACCATCGAGGAGCATGTGAGGTCCGGTGGGTGGACTATAAGTGTCCACACTTGTCTCGCCAAGACCGTGAGTTATTAAAGTACGTCAGACCAACATGTATAGCCCCCCTTCCCCTCAATTCGAAGTTGACGGGCTTAGGTGGAAGGCCAAAGGCCAGGGACAACATGTGGACTTTTCAACTTTTGGGTTTTGAGGGGAGGGGTGCGAAGCAAGGGCATTTCGCAGTTGTGGTTCTTATCCTGTTGCATCGCGTTCCCGCCATGGGTGTGGACACTTTTTGTCCGGGCGCCGTCATCTTGCGAAAATCACACGCGCGCAGCCGAACAGTGCACGTGGAATGAGCGCCCGAGCGGTGGCGCGAGGAGGAAGAGATGCCAGTGCTGTCAGGGCGCTGGCAGGAGGCGACTTCGGGCTCAGGGGGCCTCGGGTTTGCGGGCCGTTCCTCGGGTCCTGGGTCGGGGCACCGATTCGCTCACGAGGCTCGCCGTGGCCAGGAGGGCCCCCTCGTGCCTCGACTGTGCCGCTGCCCTTCCCTCGCATTCGCATCTCTGGGCCTCCTGTGGAGGCCCTTGTCCCCACGGCTGGGTTCGCATCGCAGTCCTGGTCAGAACGCACCCCAGGGGAGGTCCGGGGAGTAGCGGTTGTGGTACCTGCTCCTCCTCCTCCTCCTCCTCCTCCTCCTCCTCTTCCTCCTCCTCCTCCACTTCCTCCTCCTCCTCCTCCTCCTCCTCCTCCTCCTCCTCCTCCTCCTCCTCATGCCTCCTCCGCTTCCTCCTCCTCCTCCTCCTCCTCCTCCTCCTCCTCCTCCTCCTCTTCCTCATCCTCTCAGTATGGGTGCCTCCGGGTTTCCCCAATGGCTCCCCGCACAGGCGCGGCTCCCTACGGGGCGAGCCCTGCGCTGCCCTGCAAGGGGGCGAGGGGCGGGCTCTCGGCTCGGGGCATATCGGCCGCAGCCAGCCGTGCCCGGACTCCGCCGCGTCGCTGCGCTGGCCGCGCCGCGGTGCCGGAGCGTGTGGACGACACGTAAGAGGCAAGCAGTAGCGAAGCGCTCCTGGCGTGCCTATAGGCCTACCAAACAATGTTCTAAGAACCTTTTGTAGTTTCCACGGAATGTTCTTAGAAGATGTTTGGCTGGGTCGGCTTCATGTTCTAAGAACATTGCTTTTGTTATTAGAACAATGTTCGGTTCTAAGAGCACGTAGTGGTTAACCCCTGCTCAAAAGAGTCACCCTTCGTCGGAGTGACCTGTGGTTTGAGTATGGCTAAGGGTCAGAGAGCGCCTTCCACTAGAGGGCCATCAAGAAGGGACGTCAAGGTGGTCAAGCGCCTCGCTAGGTAAGGCGACGAAGGTGTGCAACACCCAACCATTCGCTGATGTCCAAAGTTTTGGCTTGACGCCGGGTGTGGTGCATCAGTTTCAGCTTGACCGAACAGGTTGGTTGCGCCCCTTGACGTCCGTTTAGGGTCTTCTGCAGACCTGACCCCCCAGCCCTACTCAACCTTGAGTGCGGGCCCACTGGGGTCCCCCGATCGCCGAGCGCGAGGCGGCAGTGGCGCCTTACACACTCAGGGATGACCATCTCACGACCCCCAAAAAGCGGCGCACCAAAGGTCACTCTCACTTGCCCAGGGTCACTCTTGAGTGTAGCCGACTGTGTGTGTGTGTGTGTGCGGTCTCGGGTTCGGGCATGCCGCAACGGGGGGCACCCCCGTTCCCAGACGTGCGATGTCTAGACTTTTTCAGCACGGGGTCCCCGAAGTCCCGACCCCGTCCCCGGCACTTGTTTTTCACTCGTTTTTTGATTGTCCCCGGGGCCCCGTCATCAAGGGCCCCAGCAGGCCCGACGCGGCAAAGCACCGCGCGCCCTGATCTTTTCGCGACGCGAGCACCTCTGGGCCATGATGCTCCTGGCGGGGCCTCCCCGGCCCCAGGACCAGACCAAGCCGCAGCCGGCGCGGACCCTGCGGCGGTTCAAGCTGGCCGCCCGGGGGGGGGAGGGGCGGGGAGCGAGTTGCCTCCGAATGGCCGAGGAGGAGGAGGATTGAGGAGGAGGAGGAGGAGGAGGAGGAGGAGGAGGAGGCATGGGGAGGAGGAGGAGGAGGAGGCATGATGATGATGATGATGATGATGATGATGATGATGATGATGATGATGATGATGATGATGATGATGATGATGATGATCATGATGATGATGATGATGATGATGATGATGATGATGATGATGATGATGATGATGATGATGATGATGATGATGATGATGATGATGATGATGATGATGATGATGATGATGATGATGATGATGATGATGATGATGATGATGATGATGATGATGATGATGATGATGATGATGATGATGATGATGATGATGATGATGATGATGATGATGATGATGATGATGATGATGATGATGATGATGATGATGATGATGATGATGATGATGATGATGATGATGATGATGATGATTGATGATGATGATGACGAGGAGGAGGAGGAGGAGGAGGAGGAGGAGGAGGAGGAGGAGGCTGAGGAGGAGGAGGAGGAGGAGGAGGAGGAGAGAGGAGGAGGAGGAGGAGGAGGCATGAGGGGAGGAGGAGGAGGAGGAGGAGGAGGAGGAGGAGGAGGAGGAGGCGGAGGCATGAGGAGGAGGAGGAGGAGGAGGAGGAGGAGGAGGAGGAGGAGGAGGAGGAGGAGGAGGGAGGAGGAAAGCGCAGCGGCGGCCGCCGCCCGGGAAGGGGCCGGGCCCTCGCCTCGCCTGCTGTCGCCCGCCCTCCCCCTGCTCCTGCCTCCGGTCCTGCTCTGCGGCTGGTGCGTGCCGTGCTTCGACTCGGCGGCGACCTCGCCGCGGGCGTGCGGGGTTTCACCACCCACCAAACCACCCCAACCCAACCCGAAGGCCCAAATTTATCCTCGATTTCCAGTGGGGGGGGGTCGGGGAACGTTGAAAAACACATGGTATCCGTACCCCCCCCAACCCGAGATTCGGGTCAAATTCGGGTCTTCGGGTTGGGTTGGGGTGGTCTGGTAGGTAGTCAGTTGAGCGCGGCCAGTGGCCCCAAATCTGAGTAGGGCTGAGGATCAGAGAGCGCCCTCCTCTGCAGGACCACCAAGAAGGGGACGTCCAGGGGTTTCATCCAGGGGTGGGGGCGGCAAAGGGGTTGCATCAAGGGAGGGCGTCGAGGAAGTGCATCAAGGGGGGCGGTTGCAGCGCGCGGTCAAAGGGCGCAGAGTGGCGCCCGTTCTTGGGTTTCTGCAGACCTGACCCTTCGGCCCTACACAAGCCCAAAGCAGTCGGCCCATCGAAAAGCCGCCGATGGTTCAAGGTTGAACTGTCCCATGCTGTGTCAGTAAGCAACGACAGGGTCGTCGAGACGCGAACCTGCAGTCAAGATTTAGGTCGGCGGCGAGCCCGGGTGGGAAGTCGCATTCTCAGAAGGCTCGGAAGCCCCCTGGCCTTCTCAGAAGTTTCCTAAGCCTCTCCCGACGACGCAGAAACCTTTGAGAAGGCCGGAGGGCTTCTGAGAATCCCCGCCGCTTTCTGAGAAGGCCTTCGCGGCCTGCTGTGCTCTGGTCAGCGCCTGTGGCCATAACCCACGATCCAACCTGCGAAGGTACTCGTCCTGAGTGTTGGAGAGCCTGCCAGTGCAAGACGCTCTTCCTCGGCCGCGAGCGATGGGCTGCTCTTATCGAGTTCGACGAAGAGGACAGGGCAGAGCCGCAGACTTTCGGAGGTCCGCGCGGATTTATCGGATCGGCGTTGAAGCCCCCTGGCAGTGCCTCGAGCGCCTCCCCTGGCCCGCTCCGCGTGCCAGGGAGGGGGGCCCAGCGCCGATCCATTAAATCCGCGGGGGCCCCCAGAAGCTTCTGTTCATGCCGTTGTCTGCTCCCTGAGATTTGCACCAGCTGTGCGGCGTGCTTCGCCACCAGGTTGGCTCCGACCCCCACTGCGTGCTGCGCTGTCTCGAGGCAGCACGGGATTCAGGAGGAAAAAAACACACAGACACAATTCATCGCCGATTCCCCCGAAAATCTGCGAGGTGGGGGGCAGACGAAAATCCAAAAAATATAGAGGAATATGGGGAATCCTGTTATTTGTGTCTATTTATCTGTGTGTCCCAGGGCTCTTTTAGCGATGGCAGGGTGCAGGGGCTCCCGGGGGCCTCCTCGTCCCGCGGGTGGTGGGGCCTGGGCCGCGGTCATCCCCTCCCGGGAGGGCCGTTGCCGGGCTCCTCGTCGCCCATCCCGCCCGTCGGGGAGAGTGCAGCTCCTCTTGCCGCCGAGGCGGCGAGGCGCATTCCGTCTTTGCTTAAGTCGGGCATGCCCCTCCACAGGAGGACGATTCAAACATAGTCAGACAATAAGATGAGGGCGATTTGGTTTGACTATCTTAGACTGCTTTTCGAATCATTCCTTCTAGAGCATTTTTTTTTGTTTCGCCCAACATCCGCCTGTAGGAGGACATTGCCCGACCTCAGTCTTTGCACCTTCGACCATCCGACCCTGGGGGCCTGGCCCCTCTTCCGCCTGCCCGCCCGCCCCGCTGGCCCTGGCCTCCCACCCGCGCGTCCGCCGTCGTCTGCCTGCGCCTCCCCTCCTCGCCCCCTGCCGCCTGGCAGCGCAGCGGCGTGCCCGGGACCCGCGCGGCGGCGTGCGGGGCCTCCGCCGACGGCAGGCTCACGGCCTCCGGGGGCCCCCTGCTCCGCGGGGGCCCAGGCCCTCCTCTCCCCGTGTGCTCTGATGGGCCCTTTTTCCACCACCGCCACCACCACCATAAGTTGGAGGGGGGAAGGAGGTGGAGGAGGAGGAGGAGGTGCCTTTTGGAGGCTGTTCGGGGCCTCTTAGGGGTAGGTCGGGCCTGTCCCTCTACAGGAGGAATGCTCACAAGTAGTAAGAAATAGTCTGGGGACGATCTTTTGAGCATTTGTTGGGCATTTGTTGAATCTGCTCTTGCTCTGCTTGCCATTTTTCGCCCCAAATCCCCCTGTCGGGGGGACATGCTTGACCGAATCTTAGGGAGCAGCCTCTGCGTGCTTTTCTCGCCTGCCCGGCCGCCGCCGCGCTGCCGCGCGAGCGCCCCGCCGCCTGCCGCGTGAGCGCCCGGCCGGACTCCGCCTGTCCCTCTGCGCTCCACGCGGCTGCCGCCGCTGGGCCTGCGCTCGGATGATGTCGGGCGTGTCCCCCTGCTGGGGGACTTTCGACGAAAAGTCAAGAATACCCCCAACATACCCCAAAAAGGTAACACGAATTCAGAAAATAGTCCCAAGACTATTGTTGGAGGATTGTTTGATCATTTTTGGGGGATGTATAATGTTTCGTCGAAAATCCCCGTGTAGGGGGACAGGCCCGACGTAACACTTGGAGAGCGGCTTGCTTTCTCCCCCGGCGATGCGTAGTCGAAGAAGAAGAAGCAGCGTCATGAACATAGACTCTCTTTTTTGGCGCTCCGCACGGATTTCTTGGATCCGCGCTTGGCCCCCCCTGGCGGCGCCTCCAGCGCCACCCCTGGCGCGCTCCGCGTACCAGGGGGGGCGGGTCCAGCGCAGATCCAAGAAATCCGCGCGGAGCGCCAAACGTTGATGTTCATGCAGTTGTTTTTTCTTGCACTTGTTTTCGGCGTCGCCCCAGCATACTAGTACTATGTGAGCATCGCCCCCCCCATGGTGCGACGCGCGCACCGAGGCATCTTATATAGTATCTGACCCGCGGCGGGCGTTTTCTGACCCACCTCTACAAGATTTCGTGCTGTATGCTCGGGTCGGACGTGCGTCTCCAACAGAGGCTCATCGTGTGAGCATGCCCTCATGCGTCCCTGGGAGCGGCAGCCTTCCCAGTCCCCCTGCCATGGAAAATTGATGACGGAGGGCTGTTTGCTATTTTCGGCCCCTGCGGGCCCTGGCCGAGCCTCGGGACAGTCGAAAAACGATCAGGATTTGTTCGCTATTTTCGGCCGCTGTGGGCCCTGGCCGAGCCCGATCCGGGTGAAAAGCTGGTCCTGGGGAATGCGTCGAGTCCTCCGGGGGCCCACGTCATGAAAAGGCCATGACGTCGGGGGTCTGGGTTGGGGGGGGCGAGGGAGGGAGTTTCGGGGTCGAGGTTCGAGGCTTTCGGGCGGTTTCGTCGGTTCCCCGCGGCTTTCCGGCCCCAGGATGCGTTCCAGCGGCTGCGCCCTGCCGAGAGCGCGTTGGGCGAACCGAGGCCCGAACGATGCGTTCTGGGAGTGCCCAGCCGAGGCCCGAGCTATGACCCGAAAGCCACCGCGTCGGGGGCGGGCTCGGGGGCAAGCAGAGGAGAGGTGCCTCCGTCTGAGAATGTGATTCGCACATGGTTAGTATAAGAACCGTTCGTGGTTTGCACGACATGGTAAACATTTCTGGCTGAAGCCGCTTTGTTCCAGCGCATCGGCTTCATGGTCGAAGCATTTGGTTGTTGTTTTTTGAAGCTTCTTCGGTTCTAAGAAGATGTCGTGGGCGGCCTGTAGGAATGACGGAATGGCTCGTCCCTGCTCAGAAGGTGGGAACGCATGGACCCTCAATCGTTCATTGATCGCTGATGGGGGCCTCTATCGGAGGCTTTTACTACCCACCAAACCACCCAATCCCCGAAGGCCCCTTAAGTGGCCCTCCATGTGGGAGGGCATCCGGGAAAATTGAAACAAACAGCTGGAACCCATACCCCTCCCCCCTTCCAAACCGGAAACTTGGGAGTTGGGTTGTGTTGGGGTGGTCTGGTCGGTGGTCAGGCTTACTGCCGATCTGTCGGCGGTTCATCGCTGCTTCCGGGTCGAGGCCCCCCACCCCCCTCTGGAGCCGGTCTCCCCCCTGACGTTCATTCTCGCAGTGGGGCAGCGCCCAAGGAGAGGGTCCACCACCCGGTAGACCATTGGACGTCGAGGATCGAGGAGGAGAAGAAGGAGGAGGAGGGGTACGCTCCAGCCCCGTGGCGTAAGTTTGCCCAACGCAAAAAGAGGAAGATGAGGAGGAGGAGGAGGAGCACCAGTGCAAACCCAAGACTCATCAGCGATGGTGGAATGCACCCTCCCTCAAGGCTCCCTCTTCATAGGCCCCACACAAGGATGCATTTCCACTGAAGACAGTGCCCCGTTGGGAGACAACGGGTTGAAGATCCTGAAGCGCACCAAACACAATTCTTGTGACTTCAACGCTACGAGTGAACCACAGTGTTGCGTCTTGACGATCTCGAATCGTGCCAGAACACCGCTCCTGGAACTCCAAAACGCGAATCAAAGTAACCGGTGTGCCCTGGCAATCCTGACTCGTTCCAGAAAACCATTTCTGGTCCGTTACGAATGGGAACCCATGAAATTCTGGCAAATGTGAAAACACGAGTGCGCGCGGCGCTAAGGCGAGGCTCACACAGAAAAGGAACCGCCCTCAATCTGCGAAATCCATGCAAGTTTTTGCGACGAATGTGCGCGGCGCGAAGTCAAGAGCTACACTTTGAAAATCACGCGCCCTCAATCTGTGAAGCTCCTGCAAGATGTTAGGGCGAGTGAGCGCTGTGCTGCGATCGCCACATTTTGAAAACTACCCGCCCTCCATCTGTGAAGCTGTTGCCAACTTGTCAGCTTCAATCTCATCGATGGTAAACACGTCTCAGCCGAAACGCCTGGTCCGCACTTCTGACTGTCCTCGGGGTGCGACAGGGATGAATTATTTATAAGGAAAGGGAAAGGAGGAGGAGGAGGAGGAGGAGGAGGAGGAGGAGGAGGAGGAGGAGGAGGAGGAGGAGGAGGAGGAGGACGAGGAGGACGAGGAGGACGAGGAGGACGAGGAGGGCGAGGAGGATCAGGGATCGTTTTGGAGGCTCTTCGGCGCCCTCGGGAGTTCCGAGGGGGTGTGGGAGGATGCGGGCGTTTCTGGCCACCTCCCCCGGACCCTCCGAGATGTGAAGACGGGAGCTCCCAGGTCCTCCTGCGCCTGCGGCCCCCCAGGAGGCCCGCCTCGGGCCCCGGGGACCGCGGGCCCGCCGGCGCCGACACGGGCGCGCGAGCTGCCCGCGCGAGGCCGCGGTGTGGCGTGCCGCACGGCCAGCCCGCGCGAGCCACCGCGTGCCGTCGCGATGCCGTCCTGCGCAGGGCCCGGTCTCGCAGCACACTCGGTGACCACGAAGAAGCAAGGGCGCCCTCGAGGGCGCGAAGTTATTCGCGCTTCGCGCTTCGCGGTTCGGCTCCGATTCCTCCTCGTCCTCCTTTTCTCCCCTGGGAGGCGGCGCGAGAGGGCGAAGTTATTCGCACTTCGCGCTTCGCGCAGCGCGAAGCGCGAAGTTGGGAGCCCTTAAAGAAGCAGCACGGGGAAGGCAAGCCGGCGCAAGATCCGTCGCTCTTCGCCGCCCCACGTGGGGGCTGCCGGGCAGCCGGCTCGTGGCGAGGACGACCAGGCTGAAGTCGGGCGTGTCCCCCTACAGGGGGATCTTCGACGAACAAATTCAAGAGAAATATGCAAAAAAAAATCCACAATGGCAAGAAAGTGCTCAAAACATAGTCCCCAGACTATGTGTTGACTATTTTTGAATATTCCCCCTGCAGAGGGGCAGGCCCGACTGAAGACCAGGCCCCGGGGAGATGGGGCCGAGGTGCCCGCGGATCCCCGGGGCTCGGAGGTCGGAGTTGGGAAATCGGCGAGCTGTCTCGAGCGAGGGAGCGCGAGGACCACCCCTCGCGGGCGACTTTTCTCCCCCCCAGTCGGGCGACGAGAACTATGCACATGCACCGATCCTGGCAAGGCCGATCCTTGACCCAGGATCGGTGCATATGCCTTCCTGGCCAAGGTAGGAGGGCGTATGCACCGATCCTGGGCTCAGGATGGGCCTGGCCAGAATCGGTGTATGTGCATAGTTTTTTTTCCTCTACCCAGTGCCCCAGTTCCGCCCCAAAAGATTCTGGCCGTTCAGGAGGGGGGGCACTCTCGGACGCACCCCTCTCGAGGGTGGACGCCCCCCTCTCGTGTATATCACAGGGTGGGGCCTCGAGTCTCTGGTCCGGTCGAGAATCCCCCCAAAGTCGGGGATTGGGGTCGCCATACCCGCCGTTGGTGTCGACAAAGATGTCGCGGGATCTCGCCGACGCCGATCTTGGTCATGTTCCATGCCAGCCGTCGCCGATTCGCG